GCAGATTGAACATATGCACCGGTCAGGCATAACATTATGACCCTTGTTTCTACGCTCATTGTCCATTTTATCAGCTCCACTTACTATATAGGTGCACTTTGTAGTTCTACAGTTACAGACTGTAGTCCATCTGTTTCTCTGCATACTTTGTTAGCCCCCTTTCACCCTGTTCTTCAGTGGTCAGGACCCCCATGGACCCTCACAGAGCAGGTACTATTTGGGTGGTGGATCATTCTCAGCACTGCAGTAACACTGATGTGGTGGTGGTGTGTTAGTGTGTGTTGTGCTGGTCTGAGTGGATCAGACACAGCAGTGTTTTTAGAGCAGAGTTTTTAGAGTGGACAGTGAGTGGACACAGTGTTTAAAAACTCCAGCAGCACTGCTGTGTCTGATCCATGCTAAATGAGCCTTGCCAAAGACTAAATCCAGGCTAAAGCTATCATTACACCAAGAGTCCAGTATTGGTGCCGATACCGATACAGTATCAGTGCAACACTACTAACAAGTAATAGATGCTTCTGTAATCATATTTCTATCATCATCACATTATTGTCTTCCATGCTAAACACTGTTAATGGCAAAAACAATCTTGTGCAGCGATAGAGTGACATTATTAGATTGCCTGAAATGTAGCAGCAATAGTGTGCTTGCCTGAGCGGTCTCCTGCATGTAGGACAAGTGTCTTATCCACTAAGCTGTCCAGCAGCTTTTAAAAGAATAGTACAACTTAACTAAGGATATTTGAGGCTCTACACCCAACCAAGTAACATTCTTTGCTTGTCACTCCCTCAGTAAAACCTGAGGTCTGCATATCTCTAAATATTATTGGAGGAACCTTAGCTGACCCAAGCAATTACTTTCCAAAGACAAGTGCCAGACATGCTGTACAAAACAGGTTCATCTACTGTTGTTATGTGGCCTGTACAAATACCTTGGCATGTTATGTTTTTTTCCCAATATTTTAAACTAAGTAAACAGAAACTGTGCACTGAAAACAGCTGTATTTAAGTTTGTTATCTGTAAAGGATGTTTTAAATAAAATACAAAGACACACACCTATACACACTCACAATATAGAGTGTCCAGTTGGACTGTGGGAGAAAACCCATGCAGACATGGGGAGAACATGCAAACTCCACACAGAATGAACTCTGGTCACCAGGCCAAGGAACCAAACCGCTACCCACTGCGCCACCATGCTGACCCAGAAGCAGGTTCCAGGTTTAAGTGAAAGAAAAACTGATTTTTTCCAGCGTGCTCTCAAACCTTTGGACTCCTCTGTATTTATGAATATAAAGTAAATAAATTTCAACATTTTTATAGAAGAAAAATCGACGAAAATCAATCGGTATCAAATGACTGAAAATAGACTGTATTATAAAGGTTTGTTAACATAAAGATGAAGACTGGTCATTAGCATCAGCGCTTCTGTTTGCTTCAGGCTGTGGCTTTTGGCGGTGAAGTGTGTGTGTATTTGTGTGTAGCTGTGGGAGTGTGTATCGGAGTGCAGCAGACAGCTGTGGGCAGGGGGTCTCTTTTGAAGAAGACCTTGCGCCCACTCTTCTGCCCTGCTGTCTGCTCTTAGCGCCTCCAACGCACACACACACACACACTTCCACATCCCACAGCTTCTCTGAGCTTAAAACACTCGAATATCTAACCCCTGTTTCAAGAGGCCGTTTTTAATTCTTTATAAGCATTCGCCCCGGCTCTCTTTCAGTGAAACGGCTGGAATGAACTGTTCTGGGAACAGAGGGGCTGAAAGGTTACAGCTCTGCTACAATACTTCACTTTCATAAGGGTTCTTATGAGGCCTGCTGGGGAGGCCAGAACAAGAGCAGTTGAATGCTAGAGATATAATTATCATCATCGTTGTCATCACCATGAAAATCATTTGCACATGCGTTCACATGATCAAACAGAGTCAAACAGAAAAATGGCTCTGGATCTATCTGTACATTACATTACATTACGATCTGTCTCGTGTTAAGTTGGCTGACCCTCATACAGACATATTACATACAGACATAGCAATGGCTTAGCAGCACCTTAGCAACTACCTGGGATACCATAGCAAACGTCTAGTAACATGTTAGCAACTACCTGGGATACCATAGATAACGCCTAGTAACATTTAAGCAACTACCTGGGACACTGTAGCAAATGTCTAGTAACATCTTAGCAACCACCTGGGATACTATAGCAAACGCCTAGTAACATCTTAGCAACTATCTGGGATACCATAGCAAAGGTGTAGCAACACCTTAACAGCCACCTGGTATACTATAGCAAGACATTAGCGACCACCTGGGAGTTTATAGTAATGACTTTGTCAAGTCAATTTAAAGTATGTTCACAAACTTTCCTCTTCTGGTTAAGAAATGAAATAATATAATTGACATTATAAGTCTTGAATTGAACCTTTTGCAGTATTGTTTAACTGTTATTACATATAAATTACACAATTACGAATAATTTACACATTTATACAGGAACATGATTGTCTTCATATCTGGATTAATTACGTTAGATTAAATTTACATTCTGTATCAACCCAGCACTTCTGACTTATTTTGTTAGCTAATATGATATTTCAGTCATATTAGATATATCAATTTTGAAGTAATTGTTCAAAAACATTTAAATATCTCCAGTCCTCCCCCAATATTAGGTGACATGAATCTGAAGTCTTTGAGATAAACAGACAAATTAATTTTGTTAACTGTAGCTAATTGTAGATTTTCATCTCAGCTAATAACATTAGCAGCCACGTCTTCCTTCATCTCACACCATTTAGCTCGAAACGCTGATACCAAATATGATGTTTTGAATGAATATGAAATGAGCTTGAGCTTGAAGTTGGTCAGTATGAGGAACAGTGTACTCTGCTAGTGCAGCGTGGAGCTTATTTTCCTGTGTGCAGTAGCCTTTAGCCGGCTGCAGTAGGCTTTCTGTGCTGCTTTCTTTGAAGGACCAAGAAAGCAGATTTTTGTACAAAGGCTTCAACATGGTCAATTTCACAGATTAGCTTTCAATTGAATAGTGACCTAGAAATAGAGCAGAATCTTGTATATTTCTGCTTTATTTTAATTAGCACAACTTTTCTTTTATTAACATAGAATAAATCAATCTAAACTGCGGTATAGAAAATCGATCAGTATGAAATGACTGAATTATACAGGATTGTTAACATAACAGTAAACAGATAAGAAACTCTGATCCAAACAAGACGCAGACTCTACACTGCCCTCTGGTGGAGCATAGAGTTCAGGCAGCTCATGGTTCTTAGATGAATGTGTGTTGTTAGAGACTAGCATAACAAAAATCCTAACTACTGTCCAATTTTTTAACCTTTCAGGACTACTTTATATGACTAAACAAATATTCAGACTCATTTCTAATAAAAACATGGCAAAAATGTAAAGAGTGGTCTTTCAGCAAGACAAGACTTCACCAATAACTTCAAGTTTGATTTAATGTTAGTCAGTGTTTGTTTTAATCTTAGCCCCATGCCTATCACTGTCACTGCTACCTGCCTCAGTATTGCAGAGGTGATTCAGCCAGTACATGTTTTTGTATACTGTGTGACGTTTTATTGTATGTAGATCGCTGGTGCAGAGACCAGCAGCGTAAATCACTTTTTTTTTTTCCTTCACAAATTTGGTGCTCTTTATTAAAAATACACTAGTTGCTCTCCTCACAAGGCAGGAAATATTGTTTCTGCTTCCTTTGGCTCATTCATCCACTCCTGTCACATTAAGCTGACGGAGGAGACTCTATAAACAGTACAGACTTGAGTCACCTGTTGCTTCCCTCCATTATTTCCAGCACTGTCACACGGATTCATGTGGGATGTTCGGCGCACTAGGCAAGCACTGGGATTCTGTGTACAGTTTGAGAGCACATTCATGTCAAAGCCAGTGTAGCAGCGTATGCAGATATGTTGACATTATGAGCTGTAGATCATCACTGACTGTTAAATCAGAAATTTGGGCTTGGTAGTACTGATTACTTCATATGATTACTTGGAGGCTAATTTATCTTTGTGTATCTTTACCAAATAAGGGCTGGACAGTAGGTCGATATACACCGATCAGGCATAACATTATGACCTCCTCCTTGTTTCTACGCTCATTGTCCATTTTATCAGCTCCACTTACTATATAGGTGCACTTTGTAGTTCTACAGTTACAGACTGTAGTCCATCTGTTTCTCTGCATACTTTGTTAGCCCCCTTTTACCCTGTTCTTCAGTGGTCAGGACCCCCATGGACCCTCACAGAGCAGGTACTATTTGGGTGGTGGATCATTCTCAGCACTGCAGTAACACTGACGTGGTGGTGTGTTAGTGTGTGTTGTGCTGGTCTGAGTGGATCAGACACGGCAATGCTATATTGTGATAAATTACAGGATGCTTTTCTGAGCGTATCATGAGTATCTTCAGTACTTAAAGAACGCTGCACGCTGGATGTTTTATTATAAGGACAGCACAATTAGTCCAGTTTAATTTGATTTAGTGCAGTGCTACGTGTAACACGTTGAATAAAAATCGATGTTTTCGTAGTGTTTGATAGTATTTTTAAATGTCTCGAAAAAACAAAATATTGAGATACAAATCATGTCAAATCAATTCAAATGTCTTGAAGTATAGTGATACATTTTTCTTGGTATATGTATTATATATCCTGTATATCTGTTTCTGTTATGCTAAATATATATATATGTTGTTCTTGGTATAGTTTTTGTCATAGGTTTAATTAATTGCATGTTTTTAGGTGTGATGTAGTTTTGTCCATTTTTCTATGTTTTGTCCAGACTCTTTAAAGCAATAGGGTCTTAGTTGTTCAGATTCAAGGCACATGTTTAGTAGACGATTAACAAGAGGCTTGAAGAGAAAACCAAGTACATATTTTCGTTATTCTTTCCTGTTATGATGAGGCACTGCCCTGTATTGATGTTCCTGTCTCCTGTTTTACTTCCCACTGTTCTGTTCTCTTTCAGGACTCTGATGGAGCTCCCCGATCCGAGGCTCCGTCCTCGGCCCCTCCGGCCTTCTCGGCTCTGCGGCCCTCCCGCGTGGTCTCCTCCACCTCTGAGGAGGAGGAGGCGCTGACGGAGAAGTTCCTCAAAATCAACTGCAAGTACATCACAGATGGCAAAGTGAGTCAGCGCTCTCGGCCCGGTCCAATTACACACTCCGCACTCGCACTCACTCTCTTGTAAAAGCCTCTCCTCTGCAGTGTTTTTTCCACTGGAGAAATTCGGAAGATAGAAGCTAATAAGACCATTGTATCTCTCTGGGTCTCAAGAGTGCCGAACGGGCAGTGTTTCCGGATTTTTACTGTAAACATGGGAGCTCAGCAGCTGTTTTCAACACAGAGTACCGTGCCCTCAGGAAAGCTGAACTGCCTGATCCGTTTAGTAATGAGCTGATTGGCTCCCTTGGAATCAGAAGTTTTTCAGGTGTTATGCCTCAAATGCTGCTCACAGAGAAACACAACTTAAGTCAGCGTTTATTAGGTTCAGTGTTGCAAAGAAGGTGCGATTGCTGCCTTGTCAGCGACAGACCCTCAAACCTTGTAATTCTTTGTCCACTAGGGGGCAGTAAGCGGGGTGTTGCTGGTGACCCCCAACAACATCATGTTCGACCCTCACCGGACAGACCCCCTGGTTCAGGAGCGTGGCTGTGAGGAGTATGGTATCATGTGCCCCCTGGAAGAAGTGCAGTCTGCAGCCGTCTACCGGGAGATCACCGACAGCAAGATCCGCGAGTCTGTGCCCCCGTAAGAGAACTACCTCATAACAGTGGTGTAACTACTGGCAGAACAAGGGGGGCCCGTAGCCCTGGGGGGGTGCTGTGGTGACAGGGCAACCCAACATCTTTATTTAACTCCTTATATCGTTATGCAGTTTTGCAATTAGACTGTGATGATAACGTCAATACTATTCTTCAACCATGGATCTCTATCAGTGAACCTACTTAGTTGAGTAAATAAGCAAATGACGCAGTTTAGCTTCTGATTTATGGGACGTTCCCATCGCCACCACCTCCATCACATCTCAGCATATTTGGAGCTTCTTAATTCCTGATAGAAAAGCAAAAATGGCTTTCAATAAGGCAAACAACATTGAAAAAAAAACATGGTTTTGATTTGCTTATCACTTTTGGTCACTCCATTGATGTCTATTCAACAGTTAATTTTGACGGCACAATCTGATTGGTTGAGAGGGATTTTACCCATAAATAAGAGCACATTTTCACAATAACAGTATTTTAACAGCAAGTGATGTGAGTGTGTCACAACAGCAAAACACTCTCCCATTATAATCAATGGAGCAATCAAAGGAGAAACTCATCCATTAAAGTGGAGAAAAGAAGGGATCGCTATGACCCTTCCAGTAAACAATTTAGAGAGAGACATTGTCACTGTGCTGGAAGTTACAGGTTTTTGTATTGTTTTGTTTGGTGTCACTAATTTATAAGGGGACTTAGCTACACTATATAGACAGAGGTTTTGGGACACACCTCTTAATCATTGAATTCAGGTGGTCTATTCAGTCCCATTGCCACAGGTGTATAAAATCAAGCACCTAGCCATGCAGACTGCCTATATCAAATTCTGAACCTGTCATTGATCCTAAGCAGGTTTTTCAGTTGGCAGTGAGGATGTAACAACCTAACAAACTGGAAAAAGCCAGAAATGAACAAAAGTCAAAATGACAAACAATACTGTCTGTGAAAAGCTTTACAGACTGACTAGAGCAAAACCACATTCAGGTTAATCTGGCAGTGCAGTAAAAAAGCTGAGCTGAACCTGATATTGTGAATGCTTTATAGCTCTATCCAGCTCTATAACACAACTGGATGCTACTTTTTTGGTAGAATGAACTGCCATTATTTGACACAATGTTTGAGGCTTCTTTGCTTTGCTTTTTATTTAGAGTGCAGAACGGCTGTATAAAAGCAGTAGAACAAGTAGAATACTCAAGGTCGTGTGTTATCACAAATAACATCACGGCTATGATTTGGTTGCAGCAGACCAAGACAGCCATGATGTTATTTGTCATAGCAAAAATTGTGCAGATGTTTTGCATGTGGTCATTCTACAGAAACGTCCACTTTTCTATCTCTCCATAGGAGTCACTGGTGTTACTGATCCTCATTGGTGTTACACATAAGAAAGGTAACACCAGAGACATTTTTAATGGAAAAATGAATTTTACAAAATGGCTGCTACAGAGCATCAAACCACATGTTGTCAATCATGGAACATCCACTAAAATAGTAATTTAATCCATTTGTATTCAATTTTTTCACAATTGTCTAAGAATAAAGTCGGTCACACCAGTGACTTCAGCTAAAAGCTTCATATGAAATCATGAGCTAAATGAGAAAATCTCTGACAACTGAAAGACACAGTGGACTCACCATGTGCTTTTCTTCATAGATCCTCAGAAAACAGGTAAAAGGAAGTCGAGTGATGTCATCAGTGTGACTTTTATTTCAAAATAAGAGATTTTTTGTTATGCGGTAACACCAGTGACACGACTCCCGGGGAACTTTCATTATATATTTTATAATATTTATTTGGCTTTTGTTTTCTTTATGTCATTTAAATCATACATTTCATAGTCATGTATAGATTATTGCAGTTAAAATTGCAGAAAAATGTGTTTTTTTACCTCAAAATATGGCCTCAGCCTTCACACATGACTGTGAGGACAAGCTCTTCTGTGGTGCCTGGAATTCTAGATAATTGATTTAAAAACCAATATTGCTAAATTGAGGCTCAAGAAGCTGTAATTGTTAAAATAACTTATTGTTTAATTTTTAAATATAAATAAACTGTAACCCTAACGTTTTTTAAGTGTAATATATCTGTAAACGCCAGGGACAAAAATGGACGTTTCTGTAGAATGACCCATGTTTTATTTCCCCAATTCTCCATACGTTAAACTCAGCAAATAAATAGAAATAGGGCACTAAAAGCTTTCAGGAAAATGTCATATTTAGTTTTTTTCTCTGTAGAGGATGTGTTCATATATTTTCATTTAGAAAATCAGCAAAACATGTCATTTGACCAGGGGTGTTCAGCTTCAACTTCTGCCTACGACTGCATATCCGGAACTGTATTAGGAATCTGGCTAATGACCAGGAATAACTCTTACTTATTTACCTTGTGTTTTATGAGCAAAAGCCAGAATTGCAAAGATCAGAGTTAATTACACATGATTAATGAGTCTTATCTTAAGGAGTCTTATGTGGATCAAAGGTTTAGTGTGACAAATGCATATTTCGTCTAGCATAAACTTCAGTCATAGGAGCAGAATATGAGGCGCCGTGCTGCTGTCCGATTCTTTCAGATATCCATCGTTCAGCCTTATCGTCCAGGAAATGGATTTTTACTCCAAGGTTAATGAAGCGTGCTTCCAGCCGCCTACATTTGGATTACTCACTCGTTTTGTTTTGTAATAAGAAGTTAATGATTTTAGCAGTCGTTACGCCTCCTGATGTTTTTCTTCTGCTTCTTGTTTTGAGGCAGCCATATGCTCAGGTGCAGCATTAGTTCTATAGGTGAGAGAAAAGGATACTGGGCATTAGAATATGTTGTCATGCTTGCCATGTTGATTGTACTGTACAAGTATTGCAATGTCACAGTAGCGTGACTGAATGAATTCTATAGAATAAGTGAGGTTTTTTTTCCCACCATAAGGCCAGTCACAAGTTATGGTACCTAAGAGTGGTGTGCATTTTGGAAATATTAGATTGTACTTATTTAGGGTTGGGAAATAAGGCCAAAAATAATGTAATGAGATATTATTTTATGCTTAATTTGAGGTCTAACTTGTGTATTGAACCCTTCAGAAAACAGAAGGTTTATTCTGGCTGCTCTGCATTAAATCTGATTTAAGAAAGCTGAACCAGATCTACGCTGCAACACTGGCTTTTGCTGTCACAAGTGAATGGCTAGACTGCTCCTTTCCCCCAAAAGAAAAGAAAGGTGGCCACCTAGTGGACTGAAACAGCAGTTGTTCAAAGCTCATTAGCCGTCCTGCTAATATATCATGCATTCTTGATATAAAAAAAGTTCCAGTAATTATTATTGTGTGTGTTTTACTGTTTATAGCTAATCCCCATCCTTCCAAACACTGCCATCTGTCTGTCTTTGGTACAGGGATTTGGATGCATTGTTCTCAGGACCCTCTCAGCAGGGAGATCTCCGTCTGCGGGAGGGCTATGATAGCGCCAGCACGGCCCCTCGCAGCACAGAAGGCTCCCTCTCTGAGGACGTCTTTACCGAGTCGGAGCTGTCGCCCATCCGCGAGGAGCAGCAGTCTACTGAGGAGCTCCGTCAGGAGGACAAGTCCTCAGGGCGCCTCCTCTGAGTCCGTCCAGACAGTCAGCCATGCCCCAGCGGTGGCCGAGAGTGCCCAAGGCCCTGTTGGGGAGCCGGAGAGAAAGGAGGTGCCTAAGGCTAAGGAGGGCGAGAAAGCAGAAGGAGAACAGGGAGGAGAGCCAGCCAGTAGCTCTGGCGAGCCAGCCAGCGACACTGCCCAGCCCCGCACCTCTCTGGGCTCCAAACAGCCCAGCCAGGAGCAGCCAAGCACACCTACCAGCAGGGACCAGCAGCAGCAGCCACCCCACTGCCAGGCACAGGGTGAAGGATCCCGCACAGCCTCCCAGAGCTCCACCACCGGGGCCGCAGAGGAGACCGGCGGCCAGGAGAGTGCCCCAGACGGGGCCAGACTCACCCGAGAGGGTACCCAGGACTCGGAGACAGATGTGGAGGAGCTGAGGAAGATGTGGAAGAGTCACACTATGCAACAAGCCAAGGAACAAAGGGAAAATGTGCAGCAGGCGCAGAAGGAGAGCATGCCAGCTAAGGGCGGTCAGAGGCTGGGCTCTGCCGAGGGTAAGAAACACATACCTTTATAAAAAGGATAGTTCTGGTCCTAAACTCTGCCACATTCGAGGCCATTTTACAATACTTGATATATGACCACCTCACAACAACTGAATTCTGTATTTCTGCCATGTCACACAAGTTCCTTGTGCTGTTAACGGAATCATTTTTGACTGCAGTGCTGCTTGTGTTCCCAAACTTTTGAGTGGCGAGTCTTGTCTTGTTTTTTTCTGATTTCTGAATCTGCTCTAATTAATGTAGAAGTATTTTTGTTTCTTTGATGAAACATTATTTAGAAAACCACCTTTATTTACCACAAACAACATTTCCATCACTGAAGAATCACTAGAGCGCTGGACAGGACCCTGATTCCAGCTCTCCGTCAGGAGTTCCAGAGCAGAACCTCTGTCTGAGCCTTGTATATTAATTAGAAACCCATTTATTGCCTGGACAAGCAGAACAGAAGGCATTACAGCGCCGTGCTCTGAAGTCTGCCCGTCACAGCGAGCCTCTCGTGTTTTGTTGGAGGTCCAGGCTGCTGGGAGCTGCTGATAACCTTGTGTGGAGCTGCTTTGTGGATGGAAAGGAGAGAGAAGAGGAAGAAACATTTAAATGTGCCTCACCTGTTATCACCTAAGGGAGCGCAGCTTTTACACACAGCTTTGATCCTGCTCTGCCAGGCCGGGCCCCGCACTCACTCACGGCGCGATAAGCTCGAACCTATCAAACACGACAGCCGCGCACACACGCGGCCTCACGCACACAGCGCCCGGGAGAAAACAAGAAAGGCTTTAGACCAGTATTAAGAGCCATCTGACGCACACAGTGCCAAAGGCTATTTAGGCAATGCATTTTCTCTCTTTCCTTTTTTACTGCTCTGGTCTTGATTGGTGCGCACTTCTGTTGTATCTACTGAGAGACTAATATATCTTCTGCCCTTTAAGTTCTATGGAGAGACAAACCGAGATGTTGAGTGGTGCCGCACTGGGCTGGTTATGCAGGTGCACGTTAAGGCTACTCACGGAGTAAATCACACGAATATTGCTCTGGATTTTAATGCAAGGGAACGTCAGCTCTCCACTAATTCAGCTGTTCAGTTGGAGGTCATGATGGATTTTACACCATCCTGAAAAGTAAGCAATGCACAGTGGTATTAGAAGCGCATCAGTATGGCAGATAATTGTTTAAAAGAAATGTATCAGCATCAGAGCAATGCTAAGATTTATCCAATAATTGAATAATTGATGCTAATGATTTATCCAACTCCGCTGAGACGCCGTTGCTAAGCATCGACTCTGACAGCTGTAGGAGACGCTCAAGCCATTTAAACGTTTTTACTTCTTACTTTGCCACAAACAGAAAATGGACACTTTTAAGATCACATTTGACCGACAGCCGATTTGGTCAGACTCTGAAGATGAGACGACACTAAATTCCCAAACTGTCAGTCGGTCTGTGTGGAGCTGGAGAACGAACTGCCGGCTGAGCAGCGAGTGAGCGGAGCTCGTTACTCTGACATACCAATAAGCTGCTTGTTAAGGAACTATAATTTGGCAGAAGGAACTGCGAACATTAAAACATATTAAACGCCGCGTTCACGGCCCAGTTTATTAATTTATTACTTTATTTATTTAACTGTTGTATAAAAGCAGTAGAACACTTGAGGTCATGTGTTATTGCTTTAACATCGCGGCTGTGATGATCTACGGCGACCAAATCACAGCCGTGATGTTATTTCGCGATAACACAGTCCCTCTCATGTTCTATTGCTTAAGCGTCACACGCACAGACTCAAAAATAAGGTCGTTCATCCCCCCGGGAAAGGGGTCTGAAGCAAAACAATGTAACAAAATGTTCTTCCGCAGGTTGCATGCAATTACACATTTCCACCAGAGAGGTCTCCATGTCCCCAAATCTTACATAGTACTGCTTTAATGTTTTTCAGTTATGATTCATTTTGTTATTATTCCACTTGTTAATTTAAAAAGAAGAACAAAATATGACCGACTAAGTTTAATTTGCATAGATTCTTATTTAAGCCCAACATTTAAGCATGCAGCATTTATGGCTTTGGCCAGACCGTTTAAAGGGCAAATTTTAAAAGTTTAACTGTAAAGAAAGTCACTCAGAGTGGTTTGATGTAAAATGCTCCATTCAGTGGCGACAAGAACCAGATATCTGAAGTGTTTAATGCAGGACTTCCCAAAATGTGGCCTGCAAGCCAAAGTTGGCCTTTGAGGATGTTTGAGTGGGCTCGCCGGAAAGTTTCCCTAACCCCACCCCCTCACCTAATGAGAGAGCAAATGTTTTTGTGTTTTGTAGATAGCTTATTTTAACTTATAATATACTTTTTCCCTTTATAAAATGTACTTTAAGTATTTGAATACTATACATGTTACTATACTCGATCAAAATCTTATATCCTTTATTTGTATATTGTTTTAGCCCACCACAAACATTGTTTTTTAAGGCCCAGTTACCCAGCAAAATATTAACAGGTGCCTTAAATAGAATGATTGTGTGTGATCCACAAAACTAAAAAATTACAAATAAATATTAAATACATTCATAATTACAGTTCATTATTCATGATGCTAGTGCCAGTAGATTAAGCCCAATTTCTACATTTTGTGAGTTTTCTAAGATAGGTATATTGGCATCCAGTCTGGCACAGACAGATATTCTGTATCAGTATTCCTGAGGTGTGGATCAGTGGCATTTTTACTTATATATCTTATCGTTCTGAGGGCCTGAATACTACTGGGGGCACTCGAGGGCTGGAGGTTAGGTATCCAGCTCTGTGACCGGAAGTTCGCCGGTTTGACCCCCTGAGCCGACAGTACGTGACTGAAGTGCCCTTGAGCAAGACACCTAACCCCCAACTGCTCCCTTGGCGCTGTGGATAGGGCTGCCCACCACTCCGGGCAGGTGTGCTCACTGCCCCCTAGTGTGTGCATTCACTAATGTGTATGTGGTGTTTCACTGCATGGATGGGTTAAATACAGAGGTAATATTTCCTCATTATGGGACTAAAAAGGGTCTCTTAACCTTAATACAATGGACCCCAACACTCTAGGAGCTATCAACTGTGCCCTGATCTCTCAATATGAGAGCTCTGACTGGTCTTTTCATCCTGAGCTGTTCATTTCAGGCTCGTGGGGGGGTTCTTGTTGTTTTATTTCCTTCAGCCAAGACCCTCCTGCAAATATGAGCATACACTGAACTGCACAAACCAGAGAAACTACATACCTAATTAGGGCACTGAAAATGAATGGGCTCTGCCAGTGTGGTGGTGTCTAAGTAGATTAAGGTTTCTTTGCCTCTGTGTGTGGCTCAGCACTGCTGGGTGGCCGTTCGGTAGACGTCTCCCGCAGAGTTGACCTTCTAATGAGCTATTAAGGAAAGCGGCATGAAAACGTCCATCCCTTAGATCACTCCTGGCTTTAGCTCAGAAGCGTCTTATTCTGCTTAATGGCTAATCCAGGCTGCGATGATCAAATTTGGGCTTGAAATCTACTTAGAATGTGGTAATGCACTCATTAAGGGAGGTTGTCAAGAAATGGGCGACAGTTCATTGTCGGTGTTACAGCTACAGTGTGTTTATTAATGTATTGCGTGAAGTTTATCAAAGCAGATGTATCCAGCGTCTTTCATGGTATGGTTTGCGATTTCTTTGCCAGTATTGGATTAGAGGAAAACTTTGAGGTCTTCAGTTTTGCACTACACTGTCAGAAATAAAGGTTCTGTTCAGGTACATTTTTCGTTCATCAAGGTACAAACAATGTAAATGTTCCCTCAAAGGTACAACAGTGGTTTTAAGGTCTAGTTGTGAACCTGAAATAAGTTCCAGGTGAAAAGTACAAATTAGTACCTTTTCATAACCGAATGTTTTAAAACAGAACAGTAAAATAAAAGTCCTGGAGACGAGACGGGGTGTGTGGAGTCAGGACAACTTAGAAAATATAATTTCAGTGGATTATGGTACAGTTATGTTCCTTGACTAATGCTACTGAAATGTATCCCTGAGGGAACCACCTCAGTAACAGTTTAGTATCTTTATTTCTGAGAGTGTAGAGCTACGAGGCTGATGTAGCTAACAAGTATTGATAGCTTATACACATATACATTAGCGTTGTGCAAACTGTACTTAAATCATCAACTCCCCTCAAACTAAGATGAGTCAGAATTTTCTAAAATTCTAAAATTGTAAATTAAAATTTTTGATAAGCAAATTAGCTTCTCTCAAAAGGCCACCGCACACCGGATAAGGTGCTGCCCAGCACACAGTGCTACCAAGCTGGGAGAGTGAAGGCTAACATCAGCTTCCACCAAGATGTGTTGAGCGCCACCATCACTGGACAGCTCAACACACTCAGAGGAGAAGACTAACTGCCAATTCTGTTATGTCGGCAAACAGACATCAGTGTTAAGGCCTCAGCAAACTTCTTGCGAAACAAAGTTCTCGGGGGTTGTGTGAAGCCGAAAGCACCTTCGCAGGCTTACAAGCTTGCATACTTTTTGCGGTTTCCTTTTGCCTGTCGCTGATGCTCCGCTAATGCAGGTGACCCTATGACATGTTATGATAAGTTCAGTGACTAATGGAAAAGATTCTGTCACAGTTCTAACTATGACGACGTGCGAGTCCAGAACACTGCCACCATTTAAGGTGGAACGGGAAAATTCGAACAAGAAGCTGGTGAATAGAAAGCCAACCTCAGCCTCGTCCTCTTGTGAACCTAAATATAAGATAACCTATATGTTATGGTGCTTGTTACACTTAACGAATTACATTTAGGAGGTATTCATTGTTTATGTAACAAATACGCGCATCACCGTGAAATATTGGTGTGTTTGCCGAGGTGCTCAGCGGACTTCTTGCGAAACGAGGCTCCTCAAAGTCGTCCATCTTTGTGTCATGGCACGGCTCTTTTTCACCGACCAATCACAGGCTTTGTTGTGTAGCGTCTTCGTCCGCAGAGTTGGCCAAGCTGTGGCGACACAGTGAACGAAGCCTCCACGTAACGTCTGCGGTTGTTCGTTTTCTCCGCAATTACATCATGTTTCTCACTGAAGCCAGGCGAATGTTGTCTCCACAAGAAGTATGCTGAGACCTTTAGAGGCGTCACTATCCTCTGACGGAGGGCTGTCCTGACCACCCAGAGAGCGTGAGGACAATTATGCTGTCATGGACTGCCAGCCACAGATGGCTGTGGCATCGCAGGCAATGGAACTCACAATCTCCTAACGACAGGCTCACCACTTATACGGTTACACACTTTTAACATCATTTAGTGAATTTATCACATTTGGAATCAGCTACTAACTCTTCACAGACTCAACAGACTCAGCTAAAACGTACAAAGCTAAGAAACATTGTCTGAGCTACAAGAGGAATAGCATTAGTCTGTTTATCTTAAAGACTTTACATTGAATATCTTTCTCTGCGGAAATGTCAAGACACGTCACCTACTGTAGCGTTTTAAATTCACTTTTGGATGCTGCGTATCTTCAGCCTAATGTGTCCAGTGTGCCTTAGCCTTAAAGAAGAACTCTTGTCAGATTTTATGAGTAATGACACTGTGTTAGATGAAATACTGATTTAAAAAACTGCTTAAGGGTCTAATCACTAGAACTCATGCATCTATTAGTAAATCTAAAGTCTTCATTTGCTTTCCTGAGTCTGCCTCACACTGTATGCTGAGTCATTTTGTTGTGCCCAGAGTTTAGTGGACACCAGCCAAAGTAGTTGAGTACAGCATGAATTCACAGCACGAGATCTGTTATTGCTGAAATCCTTGTCTATAAAATGAACCAAATGAAGAACTGCAGATGAACATCATTGGTTGCTGTCGCAGAGTCTCTTTAACCAGTTTACACTGTATAATCTCTGTAGCTGGACTGTATTCTGCCTTTACAAGACAAGGTCAGCAGGCAGCTAATGGGCTAAAAAGCTAGTTCAGTGTCAAAAAAACAGGCTTTAAATTCAGACCTTTACAGGAGAGTCACAGTAAATATAAGCTAATATAGGCATCACACATGATTATACAGCACCGCTAACTTGGCACTGACAACACTACAGGTTCCCATAGTGAAGCATTATGCTAGTGGCTAATCAAACAGTAAAAACTGCTTATAAAATGAATTATACAGTTTGGCATGCAGAAGCCACACCCACACATCTGTTTAGAATTCGAATCATGGCAAGATCGTTCAAGTATTTGCCACTGAAGTGCTTCTTACAGAATTCCTTCCAAAAGATAACAGATAAAGAGGTAGAATGCAAACAAAACACAAATTTGAATATCAAATTTAAGTGAAGTTGCCCATCCTTACTTCAAACTGTTTTGGGTTGTTAAGTTCCCTCAATTAGACTTGATTATGTGGTTATGAAATGCATGACATACTGTTATCTATAAAAATTGACAAAATTTAGTTAAAAATGGTCAAAATGTGAGTTAAAAATGGTCACAGCTGGGTAAAATTAGAGGAGGCTGCTGCTGCTATGCAGTATACTTTAGTGCATTTTTATAGATCACACTGTAGGAAATCCTCTTGGCTAATGAAGAGCATTTGAGATAAGCAGGGGTGCTTTAGCCTGGGGCTACAAGTGGTCATGGCGTCTCTGGGTCTAGTTAAAATCAGTCAAAGTTTATATAGAGCTTTTTACAACAGGTGTTATCACAAAGCAGCTTTACAGAAAAGTCTGGGTCCAAACCCTCTTGAGCGTCGCCAATGGCGACAGTGGCAAGGAAAAACTCCCTAAGAGGAAGAGGAAGAAACCTTGAGAGGAACCAAGACTCAGAAGGGGAACCCATCTTCCTCTGGTTGACACCAGATAGCAAACAGTTTTAGTATAAACTATTAAAATACAGAAACGGGGAAAAACAGGTGAAGCAATGATTATAATTAGATATTTGGACTTCTGTGCAGCCGCAGCAGCAGCATCATCATCAGAAGGGTCAGTTCTTGCAGGTGAAGTTTGCACAGCGTTTTACAGCGAGAAGGTCCATGGTGGTCAAACCGGTCCAGAAGGCTGGCGAGCAGTGGGTCCAGATCAAGGCCAATGAAGCAACAGCATTAGACCCTGAGGATGGGCAGCTGTTTACAACACGACTGAGTTCCCTTCTGACTGATGTGAACAAATTAAATAGGCTTTAGTAAGCATGAAAACAGAAGGTCACATGGCTAACAAACAGTTCACTCTGAACGACACGCAGCATCTAAAAACTGGAAACTTTTGTTTTTCTTGAAGGTGCACACACCACCGCCACCGGTCAGCGACTTCTAGCTTTGCCATTCATCATCTCTCCATTACTGCACTAACTTAAACCCAGAACCAGACCCCTTAAATCAGGGGTCTTTAATTAAAATTCAGTAAGGTCTAGTTAGAGAAAATAGGTCATGAACATCATAACGTCTAACCTGCATCATGATTCAGTGCCATATACTGTTTACTGTAGCCTAGTAGGTATATCAACATCTTATACAGTCAACAACTGAATATCAAATCAAATAAAGTCCAATTCAGTCATATTTCAACAACATTTATTGTCTGTTTTCTCACTTTTAGAGCGCGTCATGTGCAATAACTTCCCTCTGACTCACTTTCTGCTCCGACTGCTGTTTCTCGCCTCGTCCCTCCCCTGTGTGTGCGTCACTCACTCGAGTGTCAGTGCTCATTGTAATGCACAGATCTGATTGGATGAGTAGCATCATTGGTGATATTTACAACGCATGCGATTGGTCTGTGAGTTTCCCGGGCCGCTAAAATGGTGCCATAAAAGCTAGAAAAGCTACGCCGATTAAAAATAGGACCACCCTGTCAAAATTAAATAATCCTTCATAGTTTATCGGTTATAGGTCCAGGTCCGCATTGGACCAAATCAAATTCTCATTGTCTTGTTCACCTCAGCTAACTTACTAGCCAAGTCACATTTCACCTCCTACATTTTAGTTTGTGAAGAGTAAGACTAACACCAAACACAATAAAACCACTACATTTATCAAAACTGATGTTTGGAAAGTTTTCAATCATTAAAACTATACAAGTGAAGTAAGATTGAATGTAAAAAGTGAACATATCCTGAACTTATCTTGATTGGTCCTCTGTCCGGTCTGCTGGTGTGTGGTTGAGTATGCCCAATAAAACCATTAACATCACCAATACAACTGAGGTTTGTTTGCTGAGGGACAAATAGACCCCTTTTCCCAAATAAAACACTGCAGAACTGTTCAGATGGGAGGATGAACGTTGCTTACCATTCTCTCTTTCCTTTTCTTGGCTTATATTCTGCTCTAACTTCCAAGTCAAATGCATCCAATGTAGCCACCAGTCAGCATCACATCTGACATTTTGCATAAACACAGCCAGTCAGCTGTCACAGATATGAAAGGACATGCGTATTGGTGTTTGTGTGTTGGTGGGTGGGAGTTAAAAAATCTCATACAAAAAAATTACTCAAGGCCCCAGATAAGCCCCTGTCAATGAGGGGAAAATGGTCTTTCCTGCTTTGTTGAAAGTGTATGCGTCCGATATCTTTATTCCTGCGTTTCTAAATATGCTGTGGAGAAGCTTTATAGATGTGTCAGGTGGGAACGTTGTGAGTACTGAAATCACATGTTCCACATTGAGTCATCATCTCCCCCTCTGTGTCTCAGGTCCGGCTGCGTCCAGGGAGAGGCGGATGTCCAGGTCTCATAAGTTCCTGTGCCTGCGGGTGGGCAAGGCCATGAAGAAGACATTTGTGTCCAATGCCAGCGCCTCCATGCAGCAATATGCCCAGCGCGACCGCAAGCATGAGTACTGGTTCTCAGTGCCCCAGGAAAGGTGAGTGGAGCCGGCCTTGCTTTTAGCTCCCTACAGACCCATCATTTATTCATCCACTCCGCAGAGCACAGACTGGCTGGGCCCAAAGCAAGCGCACACACTCATGTGCGTGATCTCTTTTACTCTTTCCACGAAAAGCAGCCTTCGCGTGACAAACTGGAAGAGCCCAGAGATTTCCTGAGGTTAAGTATGAGGTTAGGTGTAGATATACATGTGTAGTTATAGCAATACTTAGTCATGAGAAAGACCCTCATAAAAGTATCAGAAAGGCTGCACAATATAACGTTTGTTCATCATTATCATGATATTTTTGTTTTGTTCTGTGAGCATCCTGACCAGCCCCAGTTATTGGTTTCTGTTGGTGTTTCCATCTTCATATAGTCTAATTCATTTTGCAGACCTGACTTAAAAGAGGATTTCCAGTTTTTAACATTAGCGTAGTTCTGTTGCTGGGATGGGAGCAAAGTCAAAGAGTGTTTTGATGTGAAAAGGTTCACTGAAGAGAAACGTAAGGCCTCGGCGTACGTCTTGCGAAATGAAAATTTTGAGGGTTGTGTGAAGCCGAAAGCGCCTTCGCGAGCTTACGAGCTCACATACTTTCTGCGGTTTTGTAACCGTATAAAATCTGCATCAAGTTTCATTGAAAGTTATCAATGTTTCTTCTTCTCCTGTAAAGCTACCATTTTAGAGATGAGAGGTTTTGTTCCGACAGCGACATTGTCAGAAATACCAGGTAGCGTATTTGTAGCTTTCTTCAAGGGAACTTCTAGGTGCATTAAAGTCTTCAGACGTCTGGTTCCCATCACCACCACTGTGAACAATTCTGACTCAGAGAATTTCATATCAAAGCACTCTGAACGACTTTGCTTTCACCTTAATTATTTAATTAAACAGAAAATTGAATTTTCAATATTTTACCATGTGACAAAGTTTTCACCAGTGTTTTTTAATATATAACGTGGCCATTTCAAAATGTGGAAACACAATCACAATGATATTTTGACCGCTTTTTGCAGCTACAGTAGCAGTTTTTAGGACTTAGGCCTGAAAGCTCTACATCAGTTCACCACATTAGGATTGATTAGACTTGCACAGCTGTTGACTTGTTTCTTTATTTATCCACTTTTGCTGATTACTGAAAGCTTTTGAGTTTCCATTAGATAAGTTTTTCTAAGTCTCAGCTCTTAACAGCTGTGATACAAGGAGGCCTCTGAGAACCTCTAAGAAAGCATGAAATGTGTTTCTCTAGCAAATTAAGCCGAAGCACACAAACAGCGTAATTCAGTTAAAGCCAGTTAATTTTAAACCAGAAATAATTTAGCAAAGCCTTGCTATCAGTTCTGCATGCTAGAGCCACTACAACACCGCCTTTGTCTCTCGTCATGGAAAAGACGCGCTATGAATCACTTCCTTTCATATAATACAAGCACCCAGTGTTCCTCGTCTGTCTGTGGGCTAGTCACTCCGTTCTTTCCCCCGTATTCTGACTCACTTTCTATCTGTGGGTATCAGTGTCTGTTCAGAACGGACATAATATAAAATACAAGTAGGAGATCCTTTACTGTAGATTAGGCAGGTCTGGGCCACAAAATGATAATAATCATTGAAATCAACTCATCTTTTGATACCGTTAAATAGTGTTATGAAAAAAACAGTAGGTTTTTTTTTTTGCTTAAAGCTCCTCTTCCTTCCCAAGAAGTTTTTGCACCTCACTAACACATCTCATTATTCCTATATTAGTTTTTATCTGTTCCTAAACAGGGGGAGGGGTCCTGCCTAAAAGCTTAAAGCAGAAGACGCCCAAGTTCTCAGAGTGGCCCCCCACAGTCCCTTTTCATATTACCATGTTGAAGTCTTGGTGCCAACTCGCAAAGAAGCGCCATTCTGCTCCTCTGCCCATTGTAAGGGGCCAGATATCAAATTTTGAACAGCTTCTTCAGTACAATAAGCAGTAATGTGAGCTTTTTACTCATAAAATGTGGAGGACTAAGTCTAGCTTGTAATAGGCCATTGGTCGGCAACACAGCTCTGCAGCCGCATGTGACTCTTTTTTACTGTCTTTTTTTTACTTTTTTACAATTTACTGTCCTGTGCGGCTCCACAGCAGAATTAGATTTGTAAGTAAAAATAAAATAATCCTCCTTTACAGTAAAATAAAGCTCTGCTGATCGTTCAACACAGTTTAACAATAAATGGTCTTAAACGCTGGAGTTAATGTAGAACTGCTAATTCACCCTTTAACCCTGAAGATAAGTGCACAGACTGCTGGTCACCATAGCAACACAGAAAACAATCTCGCCTAGCTAGTAGCTAACGAAAAGGCAAAGGGAGAGATTTAAGACAAACATAGGTAATTTGGACTTATTTGCATTTATAATCACTCCAGCTGGTTTCCTGATACGTTTAATCTGCAACAGGAAACGGTCAAACACTAAAAAGTTGCGAAGCTGAAGTCAGAGTCTCATTCGCCAGCTTCTTGTTCAAATTTTCACGTTCCACTTTAAATGGTGCAGCAGTTAGCTACATAATTAACCACGTTCTGGTGCTTCTGGCATCATTAAGGGTGAAAAGGGAAAAACTTTCATCACTTCAGTTAAATGGACATGAAATGTTGAGGCTCCCAAAGTGGTTTGATTTTTGTTTAAACTTGACAAAATGGCTCTTCTTAACATTTGGGTTGCCGACCGCTGTACTGTTCATAGAGTTAGCCAGCTATTTCCATATATATTCTTATCCGTATTATACAAAAATATTATTTGCTAATATTCTTCTTGGTTCAAAACTATTCAGATGTAAAATTGGTCATCAGGCGTAACATAATTATCATTATCAATTATCAGTATTGAATGGAGTGAAAAATATATTGTGAGAAGATGTTGGCCATATTAACCACACCTAGTCTTTAAGCACTGCAGACAAGATGACCTCAGTGTGTGTTGTAGATGTACTAGTGTGAAGCTGCAGGCTCAGTGGCTGTCCTACTGTATTTTCCGAGGCTTTGGCAGCCTGTTTCTCTGAGACGCGACCCAGTTGGGTGGCGACCCGGAAGATGGTATAAAGTATCCTGACAATAGTGAGAGTGCACAGCGAAGAGAACACACTCAGCTCTCTCGCAGCCCGTCAGCAAGCTGCCAGGACCTGCTGCAACTGTGCACACTCAGATTTTGCCTGTGCTTTAACCTGTGCAGGTCACCTGCTGCTACAACCAGGCCTGTGCTTTAGTTACTAAGTATAGGCGCAGTTATTCAGCTACCTGAATATTCAGACTCAGTATTACTGTATTTAATTAGGTGTTTGAATAATAAATTATGTTGTTATTTTATGCAAAAGTTGCAGAAGTTTTGCCGCCTTGGTCAAATAACGCTTTGTTGATTTTGGAGTGTAAATAAGTTTGAAGTGAAAATTATTGAACAGATCCTCTACAGAGAACACACTTCTGCACATTTTGATGCGCAGTTAGTTATTTTTTAACATATGAATTTAACACATTGAAAAAAAATAAAACATCAGTGTGTGCAAAAGTTATGGCACATTTTACATTTCATGTTTTATTTTTGTCAGATTTTACACAAATAAATAGACGTTCTGCACTGCAATGTGCAGAAAATGTCATATTTAAGTTGGAAAATCAACCAAACATATAATTTGACTGGGTGTGTTTGCAGACGGCTGTAAGCTTTTGACTGAGCGCACAACATAGAACTGCACAGAATGTCAAGCAGCTGCTGTTGGTCTCGCATTAAGTGAAACAGTGACATCTAAGTGGCAACGTGTTTTAATGTTATTCAGATAAATGCAGGTGTAAGTTGTGCAACTGTAAGTTGTCATTCTGAAGGTCAGCTGGTAGATTGTTGCCTATAACACAAAGTTAAAGCACTAAACCAGCCAAATGATGAGGTTTGGCCACCGACATGGTGGTGGCGTTATTGCATTTTGAACTGGCTTGAAGGGAGTATGAGGAGTTTTTAAGGGCCTCAGTGTCACTGCTAGACTGAGAATAGTCCACCAACCAATATATTCAGCCAAGAGCAGCATCTTGTGACCACTGATGAAGGACTAGAGGATGACCAGCACAAACCATGCAAAAACAGATGAGCTCCTGTCTCTGACTTTACATCTAAACAAGATAGATGTGTCTGATAGAGTGGACAGTGAGTGGTGCCTAAAAACTCCAGCAGCACTGCTGTGTCTGATCCACTTAGACCAGCACAACATACACTAACACACTACCACCACATCATTGTCACAGCAGTGCTGAGAATGATCCATCACCCAAATAGTACCTGCTCTGTGAGGGTCCTGTGGGGGTCCTGACCACTGAAGAACTGGGTAAAAGTATGCAGGTGGTCTAGTGTGTATTGGTAGAACTGCACTTATATGGTAAGTGGAGCCGATAAAATGGACAGTGAGTGTAGATACAAGGAGGTGTACTGAGTGATGTGGCTGACCGTTTATATTGGTAACTGAGAATGTGTGTAGTACCTACATCAGCTCTGCTCTGTATTTTCCAACTATAGTTTGGTGTTATCACTTAAAACATTGGCTGCTCCAGAGGGAAGTCTTTTTAATTGGATTAGCTGACTTTCACCCATGAAATCCCTTTCAAACTAACTTTTTGAGCTGTGCTTTTCTCATTTGCCAAAGCTGAGGTTATTAAGCTTCTTTTCTTCTAAATTGTGTTCTTCCTCCTCTGTGAGTCCTGGGTGGTACTGATAAAATGCAGGATTTTTCCAATTCATCATGGTATCAGATGATGTTGAAGCATTAAGAAAGTTAACAAACACATACTTCCTGAGTGCTAGTACTGATTAGAGAAAGTCAGCTGTTTGGAGTGTTTTGTTCTGTTTTCTTCTCTTCATATTTCACCAAAGGGAGTGATTTATTTTGAACTGTTCTTTCAAACAAATCTAAAGCACCCAGTAAATTACCTATGTCTAACTCTTTAAAATCTGCTCCCAGAGTTAGGGTTAAAAGATGAATTGTTTTTATATTAAATTCGCAATTTAATAAGCTGCAATGCGGATCAGCACCTGAAAAGGATGGCATGCTCACTCCTGGTAAAGTGAGAGGACCTGGCCCAGGTGGAGGAGTTTAAGTATCTCAGGGTCTTATTCACGAGTGATGGGAAGAGGGATGGTGAGATCGGCCGCAGGCTGGGACAGGCGGCAGCAGTAATGCGGTCACTGTACCGGACTGTAGTGGTGAAGAGGGAGCTGAGCCATAAGGCAAAGCTCTCTGTTTACCGGTTGGTCTGCATCCCGACCATCACCTGTGGTCATGAGCTTTGGGTAATGACCGAAATAATGAGATGGTGAATACAAGCAGCAAAAATGAGCTTCCTTCACAGGGTGGCAGCTACACTCTCCTTGATAGGGTGAGGAGCTCAGTCATCTGGGAGGAGCTCGGAGTAGAGCCGCTACTCATCCACACTGAGAGGAGCCAGTTGACGTGGTTTGGGCACCTGATCAGGATGCCCCCTGGACGCCTCCCGGTGGGGGTTTGCCAGGCACGGCCTACTGGGTCGAGACCCCGGGGTCGCCCTAGGACCCGCTAGAGGGATTATATCTCCAAGTTGGCTGGGAGCGGCTCAGGGTCCCCCGGAATGAGCTGGAGGAAGTTGCTGGGGACAGGGCAGTCTGGGATTCTCTGCTCTCCCAACTGCTACCACAACCCTATCTGGATTAAGCGGTTAAAGATGATGATGATGATGATGATGATGATGAAGAGCTGCATTTTATATATAATATAGATAATATACTACACTCTTAAGAAAGATGGTTCTTTAGTAGAGACAAACATTCTATATAGAACCATGAACACTCAATGACCCATTTGCATGCTTAAAATCGTTCTTCAGATTGATGGAGAACGTGTTGCATGTGGTTCTATATAGCACCAAAAAAGGGTTCTGCTATTGTTATGATGAAAAGCTTTATGGAGAGTGTGTTGTATATGGTTCTATATAGCACCTTTTTGAAAAGGGTTCTATTTTAAACCATATACAACACACTCTTCATGAATCTAAAGAACCATTTTGCCATGCAAAGAACTTTTTAAGCATGCACATGGGTTGTTGAGTGTTCATAGTTCTATATAAGACTGTTGTCTTTACTAGAGAACCCTTGTAAAACCATCTTTATTAAGCGTGTACATTAGCAGAAACGTTGTTCTAAGTTTTAAGAGGGGAAATTGAACCTAATAAGAGTTTGTGAAATGTCTGTAGATGTGTTAGACCAATCAGAGGCCACCAAACCTCCATGTGTTGTGACATCACATCCACAACTTACTGGCAGTTCGACACACTACATTCAGTGGTCGAGCCTCAAGCCAAAAAAGGTGGATATTCTGGTTTTATTGCCAAAAAACAAATCAGGCCTGAATCTCACTTTATAAAAATCGCAGTTTAAATTGCAGTCGCAATATCAGTCGGAAAAATCGCAATTCGATATTTTGCCCAAATCGTTCAGTCCTACCCAGAGTAGCTGGTGTGCATACATGTCAACGTCAATTGTAGTAAAATGGATGAGAGTGTGAAATTCAAGCTTTCTGTGTGCCACTGTTTTTCCTATCACAGAGTAAAAGAAGCTCCATGCTGCCTTTATTGAGCATGTTCACACATTCAGAATGTATTCGTATCGCTATGGAAACAGTTATTATTGTTTTTTTCATCAGAATAACTATAAAAAGTGTCTGAAGTTTGACATATATTCCTTTTAATATGTTTCTTTGTTCAAAATATTCATAATTTGGTGTAAAAAGCAGAAATAGAGATTTTTTTGACTGTAAATGGAAGGGTTAAGCACATTTTGTCATCTATTTATTGGTATGTACTGTCCTCTTGTTCATTGCTCATGCCCTTCTATCCCTGCAGGTCAGACCACCTCTACTTGTTCTTCATCCAGTGGAGTCCAGAGACATTCGGAGACGGAATGGGGAGTACGAGCCGGGAGCCCGGCTTCATAGTGGTCAAGAAAATCGACGAATCTGAAGGCGGCGACGAGCAGACAGCAGCGGACTCCTCGGCCAAGGAGTGGGAGGTAGACCCCGTTCAGCTTTGCTCCTCAGTCCCTTTATTGAATTTGCTTCCGAATGCTACGTTTTTGACGTGACGGTATCGTATCACTCCTCGTGAAGCGGTGCTATGCTTGCTATTGTTATACAGTAAGTTCTGCTTGTGCATTGCCACATGTGGAGGTGTATAGTATTCGGTGCATATATTTGCAGTGTGTTTTCCTGTCTCTGTGTTTCTGTTTTTGTTTTTCTGTTTGTTTTTTATTCCAGGTACCCGGAAACTTTTAAAGTGTTCACTGCACCCCTCCCCTCGTCCATTTGCCATCACTTTGTTTTGTCAGACGTATTGAGTTTTTTGCTCACTGTTTTTTGAGATTAGTTCTTACACTTGGTCGGTAAATATCCCCATGGTACCGAATTGCATTCTTTTGTTATTTACTGTGAGCTTGAAGCTGGTGTTTTGCATGATTGTGTTCTGTTTTCTTTCAAGAAAGCAGCCCATGTATGCAGTGTGCGCATGCATGAGTTCCTCTGTCGTACGTTGAGAACATGGCATGGTTTAATACATGGATGGTTTTTGCACAAATAAGACCCTATTAAATCATGCCGCCATGACAGTATTGTGATTAAAGCCCAGTATATGGTTGTACGTTTGTCCTGATGACTGAGATGATTATGAAGAACTTGATCATTCCCCACTTATTATTATTATTATTTATTTATTTATTTATTTTGGTACATCTGTTCGTTTTTATGCTCACGAAGGTCAATAGTAAAAAGCAGCTGGCGTGCATCTTCATGGAAATAGTAGTCTAGCAATCTGGTGCGAGCTCTGCTGAAACCAATCCACCCACCCTGATGAAGAAAACGATACTGGAGCTGAGGCAGCATTTTAAATTTTAATGTAAATCAATGATGTAGGAAACAAAGTAGACTGATTTGTCATTCCGAGTCTCATGGCCTCGTGGTCTCGTGATGTGAATAAGTTTCCTTTCCCTTGAGCACAAGTGTTAAACAAGAGCTGTGAGCTTGTGCAGGCCTTTGATGACCTCTGACTTGAGTTTGCCTTGAACTTGGTGACCTGTGCTTGAGTTTGTTCAGCCTGGCTCCTGTCTCAGAGTTAGCATTGTGGCGTACGCCACTTGCTCTGTGTTTTAGAAGGGGTTTTAGGGGCATGGTGTGCAAAGCTGTGCCGCGAGCGCCACCTCCCCTCCATTAAACAGTGTTTTTTTTTTGTTGTTGCTGTTGCCGTTGAAGACAGGGGTGCACAACTCCGGGCCAGTGTCCAGCACAAATTGGAGGTTTCCCTACTTAAACATACCCACTAAACCTGTCAATTAACAGATAAATGCAATCAGGAGTGCCTTAGTAGGTAAATCACCAAACTGTGCTGGACACCGGCCCTCTAGGAGGTGTTTATGTGTTGGCTATGTTTCATTGTGTTGGGCTGTGGGTAAGTTAGTGTGGGTTTATGTGTCTGCCACACATTTTCCCCGCTATTCTGACTGTTTTTCAGTGGCCTGTTCTGCATTTTTCAATTAAAGAGCATTTCCTTGAGCAGAAATAATGCTGTCCTCTGGTTCTTCTTCGCCACCGACGCCACAGTGTATATTAATGTGTATTAATTATAGTGAATGCATTCCAACCAGACAGTGTGGCCTTGCGTTGGGTGTGCATGTTACTGATAAGGGCATTAAAAGCTACTCAAACATGTGCCCTGGTGAAGATAATGCTATGGTACCATGCTCACTTAGCAGCGAGCCGCAATGATTAGAGTTGATTAAGATCCTTTTACTCCGTTTCTGTTCACCGACATCGATCCTGTTAAATAAATTAATTAATTAATTAATAATAATTAAAAGAAAAACAGTTTGGATCACATTTCAGAGGCTCTTTCTGTTAAAGGCGTGTTGTGTCTTTAAACGTGTCCGTCGTCAGCGTGCGTGAGAGACGGGCACTCGCGGTCTAGTAGCCAATCGTAATGCGGCAGTGCCCCGGCCGCTAAACCCCATTGGCTCGCTGCGCCGCCAATCATCCCGGGGCGAAGACGTTGAAACATTCCGTTCACAGTTCTGGCGCCGCTGTGTTTTCATGGATACACCTTCAGCGAAACCCGGAGGAAACGGGCGGTTCTGAAGAATGTGACTCCACAAAGCTGCCTCGCCCCGAAAAGACATGTTCTCTAGGAGGGTGAAAGAAGTCAAACAGCTGACTCCTAAGTATACTTACGTACGTTGAAGTCGGTGTTTCGCCCAGCCTGGCTCGGTTGGCGAGGGTTTCGCTACTGCTAACTGATTTGTGTGCAGTGAAATAGAAGTTGATTTGTTTTTGCCAGGTCGCTTGTGGCTCCGCCGGCTCTGCTGTGGCGTCTCCACCACGTGGAGTTTGTTTATTCCTCTGTTTTTCTCGTCCTGCTGACCGGCAAAGTTACATTGTGCTTCATGTGTGTTGACGAGAGGGTTTTCACCACAGCACGATCCCTACAGGCAGGCGGTGAACTCGGCTAGGCTAAGCTGAAGCTGAAGCTGGGCACCGGCAGCCGAAAGCGCTGTTTTGGAGCTGAAGTTTGGAAGCTGAGGGGGGAACCGTGCAGGTTACTTCTTCTTTTGGTTCTTTAGGAGTTAGCTAGCTAGTTCCGTACCGCTGGGTGATGTGTTCCCCTCGTGGTCGGTGCTGGAGTAAAGCCCTTAAAGAGCTGCTGTACATTATCTTACGTGAACAGAGCTTATTTGCTAGTTATCCGCCTGCTTCTACGCGTTGAAGGGGAATTCCACCGATTTTTCAGATTTTCTGCATGTTTCAGTGTTCGAGATGTAAACAAAGTCATTCAGAGTGGTTTGATGTGAAATGGTTAATTGTAGGGGGAAAAATAATCTTCTTTTAAGGTTGCTTTACAGTGGCACTGATAGGAACCAGATATCGTGATGTCTCCAACGCAAATATAACCATTTTATTTACAATCCACAACCATCAGTGAACTTAGACGTGTATTCTGAGTATGTGCACATATGTAGTGTTGATGATGGTACAGTAGTAGTAAATAAATGGACTAAATGACTAAAACGACTACAGGTCAGTAGCCCTGACCGCTGTAGTCATAAAGGTCTTTGAATGCCTGGAGACCATGACAAACCCTCTGCTGGGTCCCCTTCTGTTCGCATACAGGGCTGACAGGTCTGTCGATGACACCGTCAACTTGGCCCTGCGCTTTGTGCAACGACAACTCGACAGTCCTGGAACCACTTTAGAGCTCTGTTTGTGGACCTGGCATTCAACACCATGGTGCCAGAGCTGCTGCAGGTCAGACTGTCAAACCTACACGTCTTCTGAGTACGTACACGTGTGTACACATATGTAAAGTGTATGATACTAAAACTGTGGTAAATCTGAGGGAAAAGAAGTTTTCATTGGCCACAGTTTTGCCTTTGGACTCTGAACAGCCTGCATGCCACTAACACCCTGCATGCCACTCGGCCTTAAGGTTAAAAAGTATGTTTTAGGCCAAAACCTTCAATCCTTCGTCTCAAATCTATCGTAAAAACCTCTCCAGCATCAGAGTATTTGTAACTATTTCAGTAATGTAGCTTTGAGAGGCCTTAACTGCTTCGAATATCTGGTTCCTATCACCACCACTGTGAATAATTCTGGCCCGGTAAGCTTCTCTGGAATGGGACATTTCACAACAAACCACTCTAAATGACTCTGTTCACGTCTTGACAGTTTAATTAGGCAGAAATTTTGAAGCATCAGTGGAATTTCCCCGTAAGGTGCGATGGGGAAACTCAGCTGAAGATGTGTGCTGTTACACAATGAAACACAGCCAGTAACCCACTTACTTAATGGTAGATTATTAGATTGATACCGGCTGTTTGTATGTAGAGCTAATTGAGGAGTAATGAGATCAGAGAGAATTTCACAAAGCAGGATTTCTCAGTGAAGTCCAAAGTGGAGCCTGTCCAGTAACTTAGTAGTACAAGTCTGGGACGTTTTTGCTGTACAGAACTCACTTTTGACTCACTTTACTGAGTTTGGATGGTAATAATTGTTGGTCTAAAGTTAGATTGTCTGCAGAATTACAGCAATAAACAATATCATCGTGATCCAGGTTTAGTTAGGAAGTACGACACTTACTCTGTAGCTAAAGCTTGCGTTTTCCCTGATGGTAATATAATTACTGTACGTTTACCAACTGGGTAGCTTGTAATATTTGTTAATAACTTATAATGATAATTCTGCACAGATGACTTGTAATACTGGTAACATCCAGTGGTCCTCTGTTTTTTGTTTGCTTGCAAACTCAAATATTGGAAATGTGTCACGTTGGTGCCTTTGTTGTTGTCCATTTTACTCTTTCTACTGGATTACAGGTCTTGTACCTTTCTTTGTTTTAATTCCAGACTAAAAATGTAGGTTAATATCTTTTCAAGTGCTGTTCAAAGTATATATGTGTGTGGTTAATTTATTGATGTGTTTGTATAGCTTGTATTTAAGTGCAATTTTTTGAGTCAACCGTAGATTAAAATGACTGTACAAAGAGAATAGTTCAATAAATAAGGTGAAGGGATGAAAAAGAGCATGAAAGAACAATAATTAGCACATATCAGCACTTATTTAAACTGGTATGATATTCAGTAATATCAGTTAATGGCCCAAGACTACTTAGAAGTCCTGCTTTGTGAAATACTCCCTTTGACGGAGGGCATAAATGAAATCCCCTCAGTTTTAGTCGGCGTCTTCCGTCTTTCTGTGACTTGGGGTGTTTTTATGGCTGCTCTGCTGGACCGTTTCTTCTGAATTATTGAACACTGCGAAGTGGCAACCTGTTGGCCAAAAAGTTTTATTTACAGTCTCAGAGTAGAAAGACAGAATTAAGCTTAAACGTTTGCTCTTAATGTCATTGGGAGGTTTCCCTCTGAGTACATGGTGGTGACCCACTGCCCTGCGCTGCTTAATAATTTCTAGTTTGTAAATCATGGGAAATGTGGGATTATGTAGCATAGTCGATTCTCAGGACTGCTTACAAAACCACTTCCTCTACCCACTACCTCTACTCACTGCCTCTACCTGCTGTACAAGTCAGCATTATTCTAGAGATTCTTGACACCTTTCAACTACGTGCCGTGATATGTGTGTTTCTGATCAGATCATCTTTCCAGTGGAGCCATCTGTCCTGATTGCAGGCTTCATTGTCTTGCCTTTTTCTATATATGTCCTGAACGAATGTGGCCTACATTTTGACTTCGCTGTGTAGGGCTGGGTTTGTTTCAGAATTGTTCAGTTGAGTTATTAGGATATGTTGTTATTAGGGCTTGAAAGCTTTGAGGTTAATTATACAAGGTATTGGCTGGAATGGACTCCCTCATTAGTATTGTGTTATATAGGGTTAAGCTATGTAGTTTACTAAATAGCCCTAAAAATGTATGAATCAGTGAATTCGGACACTTTCTTATCAACATGCATTATGACTGCGTTCACATTACCAAGCTAAAGTGGCACAAATCTGATTTTTTGCCCTAATGTGACTCAGGTCTGATGTTTTCAGGGACTGTGTGGACACGCGAATCTCATCTTTTCAAATCCGACCTGAGTCACTTTCATATGTGGTCTTAGATCAGATACGTATCCGATTCGTGGCCATGCGACCTTAATGTGACACTCAGATCGGAATTCATGTGCTTTTAAACCCGTATTACTTACTTGTGCAAAGCTGAAGTTGGCTTCTTGTTTGTAAGAGCAAAATTAGTGAATGCATTAGGGTCTTTGTTTTTAACTGTTCAGAGTAGCTGTTTTCCACCAGAGTCAAAAGAGCCTTGATAAGTTTAGCTTTCTACAGCTCTGCCGCCACTGTTGACGCTAACCTAATCTTTCTCTGTCAGTTGCTTAGTGACAAATTACTCGCAATATACTTAAAAATACTCAGTAAAAATATGAGCGCAGTGTTGGAAAGTTTAGTGCCCTCAAAATCACTCTGTAACTCGTTTTCCGATTTGGACACTAAGAGAAAAATAGCTGACATATGTAATAGTGGCTTACAATACAAATAGGGATTCATTTTACACGTCCCAAGACTGGTGCTGACCTAGAATATTGCATAATATCATATTTTATTATGAAGGGGAAATTAGAACATGGCACAACGTAATTGGAAACCACCACTTGGCTACCAGTTCAATACTCTGTGATATGATGTTCATAGGTTTACCTCTGTGTGGTTAGATATAGAGATTTGATGTCCATCAAATGAATGTTGTAATCTGTATTTGGTCAGAATAGTCACAATAGAAACCTGCGTTACGGTGTAATGCTTGGTACCGACACTAATATTATAACCATATTAAGCTCTCAGGAACATCTTTCTGAGATGTGATGAGCCGTTTAGTAGTAAACTATGTCAATGTCTGTATTATTGTCTGTTAAACGTCCCTAAACTCATGTAGTCGATCTTTGCAGTTCTAGTTTTGTTAACGTGTGGAATATCTGCCTCTGTGTGTGACTTTCTTGGGTATTATGTCTATCAAAACATGCTTAGAACCTGCATAGTTTTGTTTATTTAAATGAGGTGAGGCATTGATCTGATCTTTCACCCAAAAACCTCTACTGTGCTGAACAAGAGAGACAGTTAGCCAGTTAGCGTCATTAGAGTCTGAAAGATAAAACACGACAGGTTTGATTTTAAAACTGTCATCTTTTCCGCACGAAGTAAAACTCGTTCATTAGCTACAAGTTCAAGTACAGCAGCTTCAAAGGGCCCTGTAGCCTGGTTGGCCTCTGAAGTTTCCTGCATTAATCATGCTGTAAACCTTGTTAGTCCAGCCACCTTGCAGCAGGTGATCATAAGCCAGTAACTTGGTTAAATGCAAAAATTATATATTTTAAAAAGCAAGGTCTTCAGATCTGATTCAGGCAGGTAGGTTGCCATCCATATGTACTGACGTAAAAAAGCACTCCAACCCGATCTCTATCTTCTGTGTCTGTGTTGCAGAGATTGCCTGGAAATGCTGCTAAAGACAGACAGTCATATCTTCTCGTCAGTCTGCTTGCAAAGGGACAAAAAACCCATTGACTCAAAACACATTTATAATAGAAGCCTAGTTTATCCCACCCCAGCTATTTTACAGCCACCCAAGTATGTTCTGATTTTAACAATAATAATATTTTTTAAAAATATATTCATGAATAAAAAGGGGCACCCAGTGAAACGATGCGTAGCTTTGTTCACACTGCAGGTAAAAGTGACCCAAATCTGATCTTTTTCTTCATATGTGACACAGATGTGTGTCTGTGTGTCTGAATCGGACATTTTCAATTCCGATTTGAGACGCTTTTATATGTGGTACTGAAATCTGACAGTACTACTACAGTAATGTGACTCAGTCTGAACAGCCAGATTGAAATTCATGCGACTTTTTACTTCAATCCAACTCCACATTCGTCATAATTTTGCGCTGTTGAGACTCTTAAGCATTAAGGCTGATGTTTCTGTACTAAAATAAAGAGGCACTTATTGTAACTGCTTGCACTCGAAGAGATTCTGAATGAAATGGCCGAACGCAGCCGTAGGAGAACGAGGCTGCAGCGTCAAAGAACAGTTGAAAGCAAAGTTTAAAGAATCCGAGGACGCGAACCAAAGAAGTGACCGCGCCCTTTTTACAGTGAGATCGAACACACTCTGGGTGATGAGCCCAGCTGTCAAGTCAGTGAAGCTTCATGATGGCTCCTGTGATGCTTGCGAAGGTGAAGCCGAACCTCCGGGAGCGACTGGCGTTCGTTCATAGTCATGATTGTTTACCTCTGGATCAACATGAAGTACTGATCTTTTGTGCACGTGGGTCGGTTTAGGAGCTGATCTGTTCAGACTGATGTCACATACAGATCACATTTTAAAGATAAAGTGAACAGCCAAACAAAAAAATCTGATTTGGTGAGAAAATCATAATTGGGCCACTTTCACCTGCTGTGTGAATGTAGCTTTTCCTTGTGGTCATTTCCTTAACCTGAACCTTTTTTTCTTAACATTTAAAAACAAAATAAAACTATAGAGTTATTCGATGCCTTATTCGAACACCTGATTAAGTAAACATGCTATGATGAGTTCGGATATCCATATATTGAGATAACCCCTACCCCCAATGATGCTCCACCCAGGTTTCAGACCTGTGGGAAACACTGAGGAGCTAAATGCTAACGGTTATATACGGTCCTGGCAGAGATTAAAATTCCAGTTTGAAATTGGTGGTGATGTCGCTCACTTTTCTTTAACAGCCGAGCATTGAAATGTGCCGCAACTGACTCTTTTAGTGTCTGGGACTTGACATCACTTGTCATACAACCAGAAGATATTTAACAGAGAGTTATTTCACAATCATTACTCAAGAGCTGTACCAATCACGTCAGTAGGAAGATGGTGCAAAGAACGTTTCTCCATTCAGATCCATCCAAAGACAGCAGTTGATTGTAGGTACGGTGATTTAAGATGGCAGATTGTCACAGACGTTCCACATCAGTGCGTCCGTAAAGGCTGATCTAAGTCTGCCTCGCTGTTGCTGTCGTGAAGTAAAGGTAGAGAGTTGACAGGGAACATCTTGAACTCAGAATGATTGACTTGGTTCGTATCTGTTGGTTTTTCGCTTTGCAATCAGTGAACATTTCAAGAAGCACATTCGGAGTCGCTTCTACGTTCTGAAGCAGTGGCTTCAGAGTTACTGGTTCGGCACCAACCTGGTTCGGCAGCTTTCTGGGTTTTTTTTTTTTCCTGTAGCATAGCTGACATGCTGTGCATGCGTTGAAATCAAAACAATGCCTTTTTACCACCGAGCTGTAACGTCTTTCGCTTTGCATGTTCAGCCAGTTTTGGAGAGCCATGACGTGACATCAGTCCCTGTACGTTTCGCTGAGCTAATTTTAGCTTCAGGAACTGTCAGCCACATCGAGGTACCTTGGCAACTAATGCAACTAATAAAACAATTAAGTCGAGCAGAATGCAGCTTTGCGAAGGCCTGGCAATCTTCTGTGTTGATCATTAAGATGGGGCATGCTTTCTGTCTGTGGCAGACACTGTAATGAAAAACAGCTCACACAACCATGCAAAACACTCGCCTCTGGCATTTTTTGGTGAGGTTGAACTGACGGCAAGAATTCAGCAAGTGCATCTCACGCTCATCATTTTTTTCCACCAAAGAAAAAGACTTGGTTTTTGGAAAGTGAATGTAATGAAGGGTGCAGTGTCCCAAACCACACATCCCTCCCCCGCTGCCAGGCTCCATGCTCACTGCTCTGCTCATGCTCTCTCTCCAAGTTCAGCTGTGGCTTCTTCCCCCCCTGTCTCTGTACCAGGTAGTCTCAATGACCGAGTACCACCGCCGGATCGATGCGCTAAACAGTGAGGATCTTCGTGCCCTGTGCAAACGGCTCCAGGTGCCTGGCCCAAAGCATGACCCTCAGGGGACAATAGAACCCTTAGAAAGCTTCTCAATGCCCAAAGCACACTGACCGCAATGTGCTGTTGTTGGCTGTTGGCTATATAGAACTTAATGATCGCTAGTTTGTTTGGGCGAGGTTCATTTTTTAAAATTGCTGATTAAATATCACGATAGATTATCATGTTCTTGTTTGAAATAAAAAAACACCCCCTGATGGTCAAACCTGTTGAGGTTAAATATTTTTGAAAACTTCGAAAACACTGGGCTTCGTTCAGCAGCCATTCTTAAGAAGTAATTTCTTCTTGAAACCCACTTATGCAGTTTTTAACGAAAATTCTGACATTCACTAATGTTTTTTTTATTTGAGATTTGTTCTTAGGTAAGAACAGAATCTACACAGTCGAGCCCAAAGGGGCGAACAGTTCTGTGGCTTATGAACGTCATGAATCTGACTTAAAAACTAAACTGACTTTTAAAAAACAAGATATTGGTGAATGAGGCCCATTGTTGGTCAACACAGTGTACGTTGTCACAATAACACATAAAAAGTAAAAGGCCCCAACAAGGAGCAATAGAAGGTTCTTCCTCTTTTGGTTCCCTAAAGAACTCTCCTAAATACTGAATGGATCTTAGGATGACTCAATAGGAAAGTTCCTTGGGGGGAAAAAAACAGTGGTTCTTCTTTGCCATTGCTCCAAAGAACCCTATTTGGCACTCATGCTTTCAGAATAAGGACTGACAAGCCAAGTGTGAGAGGAGAGGTCTTCAAATCCGGACCTTGAGTCCAGTTTCCTGCCTGGATTTTGTATCACTAAAAGTTAACTGAACTGTTCATGCAGCTGATTAGCCACCTAGTGCTAAGTCTAAGACTTTACAAAATCCAGGGCCAGAAACTGAATTTAACGTCTGGATTTGAAGACGTCTCTTCTTGAGACTCTCAACAGTCACATACAGTTGTGGCACACCAGCCCAGTGTTTGGGTCGGTTTGGTTTTTGTTGGAAAACTTTGGGTCAGTGTGCTTTAGCATTGGTTAGATTGGGCCACCTACACCTTTTAGCCTCTACCAGGGTGTGGAGGGTGACCAGTAGTGCTATATGGTTGTGCTCGACACAACTGTATGCGGGCAAACATGGAAATGTTTGCGAAGGAAGGTTTAGTTGACATTCTGGGGAAACGGGAAGTTATACTTTGACATGGGGACCCTAACTCAGCATTTTCATGATGGGGGTTTGAGTGTATTTGCTAAGTAGCCCACATCCTACAGAACCCACAGTATTGTGAAACCTTTGTTACAAACGTTACCTTAGCAACCGCACTAGAAAGGTGGTATTGTATTCCTTGTGCCAGCCTCTTGACTGCTATGCACTGAAGGATGGCAGGCAGGGTGTGCGGTTTGAAATGGATGGAAGTTGGGCTCCATAGAGTGTTTGCTCAATTGTTTGTCATAGACAATGCAGGTAATTCAAGCAAGGGGTGTGTAATTTGAGTGTGTCCAGGCCGCTAGAGGCACCGTGCTCTGTCTTTTCCAGTATTCTCTGAAACAGAATGGTCCCATGCATTCTGTTCTTGCTGTCCCAGATTACCTGGTTACTCGATAAGTAGTGGTTTGAATAGATGTAACATCTATATTCTGTTTGCATTTGCATTATTGCATTGCATTATTTTCCATGTTAAATGTGCATTTGTTTGGTCTTTAGTCAGCCTTTGAATAAACAAATAGCTTCCTCTGGTTGAAGTACAAACAAGATATTTCCACCTCTGACCAAACCCAAAGATAGCTATAGCCTGCGTTTTAGATCGAAATGTTAGAATAGTGTTTGTACCGTTTAGCCGTTACCTGGCCAAAGCCTCTTTACTTACAGTCTTCTCTGCCTCTAGATCACCACTAAAGAGGAGGTGAACTCCAAACATGGCACGTCCATCACAGCCAGCCTGGAACCAGAAACCTTCAAGCCCAACATGACCGAACCCAGCGACCTGCTGGAGGCCGAACAGATCGAGAAGGTAAGCTGGCATTGATTCCATCGTTGTTAGTGTTTGTTGCTAGTGCGATTATTTCTCTCCAGGGAGACGAGTGGCTTATCGATCACCTCCTCCTCCTCCTCTTCCAGTAAGGTGCTTCCTCAAGCATCCTCCAATCATTGATCTTGGATGGTACACACTAACAGTGTAGCCTATGTTTATCAAATGTAGCAGTGTGGCTGCACAAATGACCAAAGAAACCCACAAATGTGAGAATTTTCTCAGTTAAAAATTACGATAAACATTGTTTTATCTTAATAATACATTTATGTCGTTTCAAGGTATTATGATCCTTTCTTCATAACAAGCATGAAACATCGCTAATAGCATCCTAATGTCTCGGTAGCTAGTTAGCTAACTTTCCCGTTCCACCTTAAATAGTCCAGCCGTTCTGACACCTGAAGCGCCAGAATGTAACTGCTGCACCATTTAAGGTGGAACTGGAAAATTCGAACAAGAAGCTGGTGAATATCTGACTTCAGCTTCATATCACTGAAGAATTAAGGGTGGGTGATAATAAATAATTGACCCCTCTTTGAAGGCATATGATTCCCTAAATGTAACTAAAGCCCAGCAGTGAGAAGCTGAACTTTCCCCTCCTCTGCTGTCACTGCAGACTGGCAGGGTCTCCTACAGAGCAGCGCTAGTAGCTGTTAATGAAGTAATGCTCTTTATTTGAGGGGCCCATTTCATAGGGAAAGATTTTAACCACTACCCCTTGTAGCTCAGTTCCAGGGGTCAAGGTGACACTTGAAAACAAGTAGTTGCCCCTGGCTCTGAGTTTACTAAAACAGTAGGGTAGAAGTTGTTTTGTTGTCATTGTTCGACTCTGTTTATTGCTGTATCCGTATTTTGCAGCCGCTCTGTTTCCTCATTAGAGCTTTCAAATCACACTTGTGAGGTTTATTTCTCTCTTAATGAATGCTGCTGGGTTTCAGACGCCTCTGAGTAAAACTCGCCATCTCAAGCAGGCTGAGCCTCTTTTATCCACCATGACTTTGACATTTTAGTTCTGTTTGTGTTGAAACTCGAGTGACATTGTAAAGACGGGCGAGTTTTGTTGAACCACACTCAGCGCTGCCCTGCGGGTATCGGGCTTTCAATAGCATCAGCACTTTCTGAATAGATCAACTAAGGTGGCCTCTCATCCAGTGCTTTATGCACCCCAAGGCCCGTTCGGCTCACAAATCAAATCAGCCCAGGTCATTACGCTGAGTAATCTAATGCACTCAAAGCTCGGTGGAAGCCTAGACTGGCCACAGGACAGAAAAAGCCCTGCCAAACGTGTGTGCGCCACGGTTACATGCAGTTTGACGTGGTACGTCTGCTCAGTGTGTGTGTGTGTGTGTGTGTGTGTGTGTGTGTGTGTGTGTGTGTGTGTTTGTTTATGTGGGGGTGTATAGTGTTCAGTTAGCCTTTCTGTCTACTGGTGTTAAAAGGTCAGTGCTACTGTAATTGGGCACTGATGGCTCTGGCCTTTCAGCATTCAATTTCACTGCCATGATGTACCACTTTCCTCTTCTTCCTTTGATGCTGCCATGTTTTCTTTGCTGTTCTTCTCCTTTTCACCCCCTTCTGCTGTGTTTACGCATTTAGTTTTCTTTCTCCTTGCCCTGCTCTTCTGCCTTTGCTTTGCACTCTTCTTCAATCCTTTAAGTCATTTTCCCTTTAATTTCGTTTCTTCTCAGTCAATGATATGGTGTTTTGTTTTGTCTCCCCCTCAGCTGGCGAAGCATCTCCCACCCAGAACTATCGGCTATCCCTGGACTCTTGCCTTCAGTACATCCAAGCATGGCATGAGTATCAAAACCCTGTACAGGATCATGCAGGGGCAGGACTCTCCTGTGCTAATGGTCATTAAGGACAGCGATGGACAGGTAAGGCTTTTGGCTTTTCATCTGACTTCTTTTTAAAGAATGCTTAAAGCTGCACTATGTAAGACTATGAAAGAAATAGCATAACTGAGCCATGGGGGGAAAAACGTTAAAATACATGAGAGCTGCTTTGAGTCACCCAGTAAAGCCTGAAATAGTCATTTAAAAACCAGAGGCATGAGGTCGGATTATGTGGGATTTTTTCAGACCATGTCACACGACTTCATGTATTAATGTTGCATATACAGACTGAAAAAGAGGGTCCGGCTCGAATGTTAGGTCTTGAATGCAGAGCCAACCTTATGCTGATGAAGATACGATGACAGTAGTAGATCATTCACTTACATCCTCGGAAGACACGTCCTTTACCAAGTTTTGACCGTGTCGTCTTTTCCAGTCCTTTTTTTAACACTCTAGCAATCTTCATATTCATCCTCTCAAAGGCTCCGTTCACACAGCAGGTAAAAGTGGCCGAAATCTGATTTTCTCACTAAATCCGATTGTTTTGTTTGGCTGTTCACTTCATCTTTTAAAATGTGATCTGTATGCGACATCAGTCTGAACAGATCAGCTCCTAAACCGACCCACATGCGCAAAAGAACAGAGCTTCACGCGGCTCATCCAGAGGTAAACAATCATGACTATGAATGAACGCCAGTCTCTCCCGGAGGATCAGCTTCATCTTCGCCAGCATCACAGGAGCCATCATGAAGCTTCACTGACTGACAGCTGGGCTCATCACCCAGAATGTGTTTGAGCTCGCTGTAAAAAGGGCGCGGTCACTTCTTTGGTTTGCGTCCTCGGATTCTTTAAACTTTACTTTCAGATTTTTAACGTTTCTTTGAAGCTGCAGCCTCGTTCTCCTACGGCCGCGTTCGGCCATTTCATTCAAAATCTCTTCAAACATGGAAGGTTTTTAATGAGTCTCTTCTAATTTTTGTACAGAAATATCACCCCAAATGTTTATGAGTCTCAACAGTGCGAAATTATGATGAATGTCGAGTTGGATTGAAGTAAAAGGCACGAATTCTGATCTGGCTGTTCAGATGGAGTCACATTGTTGCAGATCGGATATCAGTACCACATATGAAAGCGTCTCAAATCGGAATTGAAAATGTCAGATTCAGTGTGTTTATCTGTTCACACTGACACACAGACACACATCTGGGTCACATATGAAGAAAAAGATCGGATTTGGGCCACTTTTACCTGCTGTGTAAACGTAGCCAAAGTGTTTTCCCTGCATGTTACACGTTTCCACCAGAGAGGTCTCCAAAATCCCCAAAAAGTACATAGTATAGCATAAAAAGAAGGGGGCGAAGGCTTGAGGGATCTCTGAGCTCACAATGAATTAGACTCAAATGTGATTTTTCAGGAGATGGAGTGTATCCTAAAAATATTACCAAGTTTGATTTGATTCACTTACTTTGGTGATTCAGCTGATAAACACACAACACAAACGTGACTACAGGAAATACATACACTGTAGTGAAATACAGACAATAAAAAACAAATCAACAGGCTTTTATAATCAAACTTTCCAAAATCGACGATCAGATCAGATCAGATCAGATCAGGACATCATGAGGTATTCATCAGTTTTACTCCTCTGCTGAGGGACCGTTTAGCCTAAGCTCATTAGCTTCTGACTAGCAGATCCCTCCTATTGTTATTTCATTACCAGCAACATGACCGTTTTTTTAAAACATTCTTTGGTGAATTGTTCTGTCAGCATATGGTGCAAAAATTTGTGTAGAAGCACTTTCCAAGTCTACTCAGTCTAGCTGTTTCTAGCCTTAATTAATCATGCAACACAGACATCCCAGATTAATCTGTCTGCATGGTGTCCAACCATTGTTTTGGTCCATTTTGCCAATTATACCGGTCCCGGAGGAAAAGCACAGAAATGCACAAGATAATAATTCAGGGATTCTGACATAAATCCATTACTCCATTTAACATGGCTCTCTCTTTTACTTGTGCTCTCTGACTTTATCACTGTGTTTCTAGGTGTTTGGGGCTTTAGCGTCCGAGCCCTTTAAAGTCAGTGATGGATTTTACGGTACAGGAGAAACCTTCCTCTTCAGCTTCTATCCAGAGTTTGAGGTGTGTTGTCTGAAACAGGTTTACATCTGTTGCTCATTAAATTACATTAATGCTGTGGAAACTAAACTGCTCTAATATGAATGTCGTTTTTTGTAGTTTATTTGTGCTCTTTAAGTAGCGGTTAGAACACAGCGATATCCATATAATGGATTACATACCATGTTACTGGATTGCAGGGCTCAAAAAATGAAGTATTTCTTGCTCTCTTTTAGGTGTACAAATGGACAGGTGATAACATGTTCTTCATCAAAGGAGACATGGACTCTCTAGCATTTGGTGGAGGAAGGTGAGTCGTTATGTATATATTACCATATAGGAGCACTTTGTAGTTCTACAGTTACAGACTGTAGTCCATTTGTTTCTCTGCACTTTGTTAGCCCCATTTTACCCTGTTTCATATTGGTCAGGACCCCCACAGGACCACCACAGAGCAGGTACTATTTGGGTGGTGGATCATTCACAGCACTACAGTGACACGTGGTGGTAGTGTCTGCTGTGTCTGATCCACTTGTAACAGTGCAACACACACTAATACACCACCACCACATCAGTGTTACTGCAGGGCTGAAAATGCAACCATCCAAATAATACCTGCTCTGTGGTGGTCATGCAGGGTCCTGACCACTGAAGAATACAAGCACTTAACAGAACTACAAAGTGCACCTATATAGATCAAATGACATGTTTTCTTGATTTTCTGAGTGAAAATAAAATGACCCATCCGATACGAAGAACACATTTCTGCACATTTTGAATGCACAGTTACTCTTTATTGGTTGAATTGAACATATTGGGCAAAAAATTAAACGAAACGTCCTGTGCAGAAGCATTTTTTTAACATGATAAACTCAGCAAATAATAGAAATTGTGCACTAAAAATGTTACAAAAATTGAAAATACACACTGCACTATTTTTACTGCTTCCAACTAAATGCAGGCAGTATGTTACTTTTAATACCTTCACGTGGGAGGTTTACTTAGCACGTCTTAAAGTCTGTGCAGATGTGAAGTCCTATAAGTGAAGGTTTTTTTGTGTGAAATGTTTTATTGCCCCAGTAGAAAAATACTGGCATTGCTCCATTATTTGCACAAAGTAATTGTTATCAGGACAGAAATGCTGCTTTGCTATTTACCCACTTTCTGACCTGTAAAAGGGGAAATAAAGATTTGTTCTGGACTGAGGTTGTAAAGCAGAGGTTTTCCATGGTGGCTTATTAATGGTTACCAGGCAGTAATGGTAGTAAAACACAACAGCTCCCCAAAGAGCTTTAGACTCCTGACTTAGCATATAGCACCTAATGGAAATGTAGTCTCTCTGTCCAAATGAGTTTCAAAGGCCTTTCCAGCAGAAAATATGTAAAGCTATCATGGCATCCTAGAATAATGATACTGTATTATAGTAGCATCTACAACCCCATTTCCAAAAAAAGTTGGGATGCTGTGCAAAATGTAAATAAAAACAAAGTGCAATGATTTGCAAATCATTTAAGCCCTATATTTTATTGAGTACAAAGACAACATATCAAATGTTGAAACTGAGAAATTTTATTTATTTTTTTTTAATATTTGCCCATTTTGAATGACTTTGATGCCAACAACGTGCTCCAAAAAAGTTGGGACAGGGGCAACAAAAGGCTGGTAAAGTTGTGTAATGCTAAAAAAAAAAACACCTGGTGGTTGATTGGCAGCAGGTCAGTAACATGATTGGGTATAAAAGAGCATCTCAGAGATGCTGAGTCTTTCAGAAGTAAAGATGAGGAGGAGTTCGCCACTCTGTGAAAGACTGCACGAGCAAAAAGTGTGAGAATTCAAGAATAACGTTTCTCAGTTTCAACGTTTGATATGTTTGTAGTATTTTCCTTTAAAAATACGGTTTACATGATTTGCATATCATTGCATTCTATTTTCATTTACATTCTGCACAGCGTCCCCACTTTTTTGGAAATGGGGGTTGTATCATCAGAGGGAAAAAAGAAGCTTTCAGATAATATATAATTGCCTCCTTCTCTTGCAGCGGTGAGTTTGGTTTGTGGCTGGATGGAGATCTCTACCACGGCAGGAGTCACTCGTGCAAAACCTTTGGAAACCCAATGCTGTCCATGAAGGAGGATTTCTTTGTGCAGGACATCGAAATCTGGTCATTCGAGTAGGCTGCTTCTCGAGAAAGAGGAACAATAGAGACAGACAGACAGCTCCAGTCGGGAAAAGAACGTCAACCAGACATCCCTGTGCCCGGCCGTGTCCCAAACCTTAACGTGCATCACTCTGGCTCCCAGGAAGCCCACTGAAGAAGCATAATCTCACTATGCTTGTCGTATGTTACTCCTGCATTTAATACAAAGCTTTTTTTTTCTTCTATTCGTGGTGTTACCGTGTGTGCTTCGTTCCAAGCTGTGACGAGGAAGTAGTTGAAGGTGTGCTCTAGTGAGTAGAGGAAGTCTTCGGCAAGCGTTCCGATTCGGATTATGACGGACCATCGAAGCACTCTTTTAACATCTTAAATGGAGATTACGGTGGCGTAGGTTTGGGATGGCTACAAAAAACTGCCACAGTCCAGGTAACCCGAGCCAGAGGGCGCGCCAGACCACCTTTCGGTTAGTCAGAAGTGTGTTACTAACGCGACACCAGTTTCACTGGAGATGGACGAGAAGAAATAGAAGCGACCGCAAACACATTCCCGTGACCTCGGAGACAATAACGGACGTTTGGGAGCCGACGGCATCAATCGCCAGGATTAGCGGCGACGTCCATACGGAAGAGCAGAAAAGGTGTACATCTGCAGTTTCTACTAAAGCGAAATTATTTAAGTGTCGTGAATTCGTAGTCTTTCTGTCGTTCACCGTCATAGATCACCACCGTCGACGCACATAGCCCTTAATCCGAGAGAAGAATAAACCCCATTGCTGTAACGTTCTGTTAAGTGGGTGTATGTGTGAGTTCGGCTTCCTCCGCGCGCGGAGGGTTGTGTGTACTGTTCGTAGACAGTAATGTGTCGCAATAGATTTTGTGGAATATGCAAATTACTGTCCTTGTAACCTCAATAATCCAGACGGGGTCTTTTGTCTTCTTCTTCCCGTCGCTCTTTCGAAACAGAACTTTTAAAGCTTCTACGTCTCGACAGAGCAATTGCTTTTCTGGGTATCATTTGAAAAGCCGGAGATGTGGTTTAATTGTTTTTCATAAATATAATGACAATTATATATATATATATATAAATATATATATTTATGTATATAATTATATATCAAATTATATATATATAATTATATATATTGCTGTTAAGTGTGACAGTGATCTTTTTTGTGCTGATATCTCAGCTGTTATACCAATATAATGTACAGTATATTACCCTGTAAATTAATGTTAAAATAGTAGATTTGTTCCTACACACACATATATATATATATATATATATATATATATATATATATATATATATATATATATATATATATATATATAGAGGTGGGTTTTTGCTTCTAGCACTTTAATCTAGTTTAAAGCCAGATTATTTCGGCTTTATTAGCAGTAGCTGTACAGGGTTTCTTTTTTTTTTTTCTTTTTGATTTAAATTTTTTGGTCTGTTTAGGTAATGGCAGATGTTAGCTGTTCCTGAAGAGCTAGCTGCTACGCTGTTGGGAAGAATAAGCCAGGTGTAGCTAAAGCAGAGCGCTGAACTGAATGTCAGTGAGTCCGGCGGGGTTTAGGTCCCCCCCCCCTCCCGTCCTGTCCCAGTGCTGTGTCTTTTGTTGGTGTGTAGACTCACTGTTAACAGACTGAGAGGAGGAGAAAAAGACACGCATTTGTCCTTTTCCACTCTTGTGGCGAGTTGTGTCCTTTGTGGAGTCACGGACAAAATCCAGCGCAAACAAATGCTCCAGCCGATTCACTGGAATACAATGTAACAGTGATGTAAAAAAAAATAATAAATAATATGAATAAATTATTGTAATCTGGGACAAAAAAACTGTTATTCTGAGGTTTTTTTGATGTGTTGAAAGCTTGAAGTAATTGAATGTCTTGCAGGTGCTTGAAATCCAAACGGTGCTCACAAGTGCTTGTAAATGGAAAAGCACTTTTCCAGGTGAGCTGTGGCCGCGTGTTTAAGAAGGCCATTAGAGAGCCAGTGTCATAGAAGCTGTTATGGCAGGTAACCATGACAACAGACTCCTGCCTTCTTTGCTTTCAAAAAACAGCAACCTTTAGCATGTGCAGGATAAGTGCTGCTGCTGCCCCCTGGTGGTTTACTTTTTTGGAGGATGGAAGACGGAAGAAGGTGGAAGATGAAGACGTGTAGACGGGAAACCTGCAGGCTCTGCTCCCTGAAGGAAGAGTCTAGTCCTAGTGCTCTGGGACTGAAGGACCTCTGGACTTCCGTGTCCAGGTCGTCCACCCATCAGTTGCAGAGATTGTTGGCCTCCCAGCCACAGTGTCAGATCAGAGCAGCACCCCGGCTCACTTTTGACGAGATGCAGGCATTCCCTTCTACCACGCTCTGGCCATATTTCCCCTGGCAGATCACGCCTACAGCTGAGATACCCAGAGCCTCATGGGTGTGGCGGGACCTGGAGAGGTATCAGAAGCATGCCTGCTTGCCGTGGAGCATCTGGGACAGTTTCAGTCTGACCTTTGAGGTGTTAGGAGCCACTAGAGAGACTAAGCAATGGTGATCCAGTCAGAAGGGGGTGACCAGGCATAACCTGACCTACTTTAAGCTGTTTGACTAAACTAATTTCTTCACCATCAGGCTTTTAACTGTGCATTAATAACACTTACAGTCTGTTGTTATAATGTCGCTGTCCTATCAAAAACCATTTGACAATATCATCTGCTCTGCATGTTAGATAAATATTTTATGATAATTAGAACAAATTTGAGTGTTTTTGTTCATAAGTTTCTCAATGTTTTATTACTATAGCGACAAAGAAAGGAACTGTCAGTATATCTAAACCGCATGGTAATCTTAAATTGTGTGTGTGTGTGTGTGTATTTAATATGTTGCTGCTGTCCGAACAAAACCTCGTATCCAAAATGGTAACTTTACATGAGAAGGAAAAAACTTAATTTACTTTTACTGTAAGTCAATGGAACCAGACTTTTTTCCAAGTCATTTTGGGCTGTTTCTTTTGGACCTTTCATCATGAAATTTACACACAATGTAAAGGACAACAGAGACACACACACACACACACACACACACACACATTTTCTAAGCCGCTCGTCCTTCTGGGTCACGGGAAAGCTGGAGCCTAGCCCAGCAGTCATTGGGCAGAAGGCAGGATACACCCCAGACAGGTCACCAGTCCACCAGCAGTAAAGGACAACAGACATTTTCAATATATTTCAATATTTTCAATATATACATATACAAATACATATATATACACACACACACTCACCTAGCACTTTAAAAAGTACACTGCTGTGTCTGATCCACTCATACCAGTGCAACAAACCAACACGCCACCACCACCACATCAGTGTCACTGCAGTGCTGAGAATGATCCACCACCCAAATAGTACCTGCTCTGTGAGGGTCCATGGGGGTCCTGACCACTGAAGAACAGGGTAAAAGGGGGCTAATAAAGTATGCAGAGAAACAGATGGACTACAGTCTGTAACTGTAGAACTACAAAGTGCACCTATATAGTAAGTGGAGCTGATAAAATGGACAATGAGCGTAGAAACAAGGAGGTGTTCCTAATAAAGTGCTCAGTGAGTGTAGGTGATATTTATATATATATATATATATATATATATACACACACACACACACACACATTTGATTTACCGCAGCTTCTGTAAAAGGTGTAGGGACCACCAAAGTGTAACCAGTCTAAGAGTGCCATCTTGTGGAGGGAAAACTACATAGCACGGTTTCTGTTTTGCGTGTTCCCATAAATGATTAACATTCAATCATCTCTTGGAAGACAACAAAAGAAAAAAACATCCTGGAAAATGACGCTGTAAATATGAGCAATTTGGTTTATTTGGCAATTTATACTGGATAGCAAACCGAGTCTAGTACTAAGTGCAGTGTTATGGTTCATTGTATGTAATCACAGAAGTAGGGAGGGGGGTCACAACTGTTCCAATCATAGCTCTACGCTCATGGAGCTTTTAGGGGTTGCTTGGTTGCTAGTCTTTTGAATATTATTCACAGAGTCTGCACAGCAAAATTACATTTACAAATACTTTTCTCAACCGTTTTATGACAAAATAATCTTGACAGTCCAAAAGAGAAGGCAAGAGTATCAAACACCACATTTCACATATAAAGTCCCTTAGATATAAGGTGGAGATGGGATGGCAGGAATAGTCTGAATGCACTATTGTATACACTATTTTCACTGATACAATATAATTTCATCAAGTATTTCAATCCATTTAACAGTTAAAATGAATGTAGCAGCAGACCGAAAATCCCTTATTTATGTTCCTGAAATGATTGTTAATTTTATTTTTACATAAAATAAGCGATTTCATGATTGTGAGAGTATGGCTGTTTACACACTCAATTTATCTATCTGCATTTTTTGTTAAAAGCCCTTTATAAAAGTACCTTAAGCTGTCTTTCTTTTAATACAGCATAATACAGAAAGATTAATCCGATTTCAAAGTGATTTATTTCACTTGTAAATCATTACAGATCATTGCAGTGAACTGTAAACGGTTTAAATGAGCATAAAGCTTATTATGTCATTTTACAAGAGCTCAATATGAACCTCCTCCAGCTGTACAGACAACATCACGCTATAGTCAAATTCATCCCATACTGGATTGAGCACGTCGGGTGTCGCTGCACTCACAGCTCTTTCAGTGTGATTTCGGAGATCATCCAGTGTTGTGGAACCAACATCGAACGCTCTGAGCTGTTGGAGCTTCACTGCCCACGAAAATCACACTGCACAGTTATGACGGATTCACTCTTATTGAAGTGGAGAACGCAGAGCGCTTTCTGCTCAGGGGTCTCATCTCCTCTCAGACTGAAGGGAGCCATCTTCCGGTGACGGTCAGAAACTCTATGACCCCCTCTTACAATTGGTGTGTGATTGGTTCCTAGACGCCTCACGGTTGTAAAAATATGGCGCTTTGAAATCGGATTAACCTTTTTGAATCACCCTGTACAACTAACTGCTCCAGCAAGTTACACGTGAAAAATGTACACTTAAATATGCTTAAAAATATTCCAAAGGTCTTTAAAGGTAATAGTCCCTTTTGAAGAAGCAGAGTAGGCTAAAGGCCCTTAGTTCCATTCAATCATGAATGCACAGATGCTGTTTTAAACATGAACTCGTTCTACTGATTGTAGTGTAGATCTGAGTAAGGCACAGTCGTTGTCTTTTTTTGTGTGTTTGTGATGTTTTTGAGGGTTTTTTTTTCTTTATTAAAAAATGTAGGGCTCACAGAGCACTATGAATGAAGGCTGGTCGGATGATAAAGTCTTTAGGTTGGCCACATGAACCGTTAATTGATTTCCTTGGATCAGTACACCAGGTACTTCAGCTCCGAGTAAATGAGGGGGAACATGACGGCACAGGCACGGTAAAGGATTGCCACGCTGTTCAGCAAAGCCCGCGGCTTCGTCAGCCACGACTCCGACTTGAAACTGAAGTAGATGGCATAGAAGGCCACGGCGAAAAAGTGCCCGATCAGAATGAAGGGCTTAGGCGACAGCCTAATGAAGAGAACACAACCTTCTGTGAACTTAATGCAAGGGTTATTTAAATCGCTGTATGTGTAGTTTATGCACAGTTTGATGACTTACACAGACAGGAGTCCTATGGGTCCATTGATGCATTCTCCTCCCAGCTTGAAGTAGTGAAAGCAGGCTTTTCTTAGCCGATGCAGAGAATCTGAAGAAGGAAAACAGAAGACGGGGCAATATAAACTTTAGTGATCACACTGCCTTCGAGGCTGCAGCTGAGGTAGTGTGAGTCCTCGGTAAGACTGTTCTATGAAGACTCCTCCTTAGTAGCCTATTGGTCACACAAAAGCAACAGGCCTGACGAGGCTGTGTGGTGACGTCGCCAGAGCGGCGCAGAACTCGGGAGGGAGCAGGTGAGAGAAAATGGAGCTTGTTGCACTGAGTTTGTTGCTTTTTCATTTCTTCACGGAAATGGAGATGTTATGTAGTACGATAAACTACATATATACAAATAAACAAAATATATATATGGACGATATACGATATATGGAGTAATGCTTTAATTAATCAGTAATTTTACACTTAATAAGGTAACGAAGACGAATTCAATTCGACATGAACAACTTACATTTTAAAACATGCTCTGCACCAACGGCTCAGTTTGTGGTGCTGTTCTTTTTTTTGTCCTTCGCATTATTCGTCCGCAGAGAACTGTAGGTAACCGGAGACCTGGAAGGACACATCTGATGCGTCCTTGAAATCCCTCTGAACATAGGCTGCATTTCTAGGCTGTATATGAAGGGTCCTTCACTTTGGAATGGCCTGCTATGACGCAGCTTTAGTCTCAGGCTGTCTTTGCAACAAGTGGTTTCAATTTCAAGCCCTATATTAGTTTCTCAAGCAGAAAGACTCCCAGTTTTAATACAGCTGAGAAATTCCACAACGTGCTACTAAGTACGCCATCGCTTGGAAGTGCTGAACATTTTTCATCCACAGTATTCTCCACAGTGTTTTATCATAGTGTGGACGGCAACAGGATATTTAACCCAAAATTATTAACATGGCTAACAAAAAAGGCTGGTTGGGATCACAGCAGTATTGGCATGTTTTAAGGTGTAAGTGCTCCTTTAAAACAACCAACATTTCGCTGGTGTTGGAAGAAAAACTCGTATCTCCAGGATGGTAACTTCACAGGAAAAGGAAAAAACTTCTTTACTTTTATTTTGATCAAAGTCTTTTTATTAAAGATTTCACAAAACACCAAAGACAAACAGTCCCATATCCCCAAACCCACTCACCCCACCCACCCTCCGGACCTACATCTATAAAACAAAGCTGTGAAGATTCTTTACAGCTTTTATAAAGAACTGAGAACTTAAAATAAATACATATTATGGAGCTACATTTCGGCTTCCGTTTTATCCACATATGTCAAGAAGAGCTGCTAAATCCTATAAAATCTCTGTACAGAAGGCCAATATGTTGCATTTATAATTATGTATTTGGGTATCTGGTGGTGCAACACCAAATAATGCAACATAAGGAGAGCAGCTTATTGGTTCTTCCAGAATTTAGAGAGAGTATAAAAAATAGATTTCCAAATATGATATAATGTCAGGCATGTCCAAAACATATGTAGTAAACTTGCAGGGTCTTGCCTGCCCCTATCGCATGTAGAGTCCAAATCAGGTCTAATTTTGGACAGTCTAATCTAACATACTTTACTTTTAACGTAAGTCAAAGGAACCAGACTTTTTTCCCCCCCAAGTCGTTTTGGTCCATTCATGAAATTTACACACAACAGTCTTTTTCAAATTATGTCAACAACTGAAAAACAACAAAAATGGAGATACAAGGTTTTCTTCCGACAGCGATTTATAAAGTGTGTTTCATTTTTAAGTAGTAAGGAGGACTGACTTACTGTCTGTCGCAGCAAACAGCTCATAGAGCGCTTGGGCCAGCACATTCACGACAAACGAGTGTGAAGACTTCCGCTCCCAGTGGAATTTCTTCTTTGCCTGTTGAGCAGAACAGCGAATTCGTCATCATGCTCATCTTCATTTCATGCTTATTTGTTCTAAGCGCCCCGTCGGAATATGCAGTGCCAGCTATGGCTAATGTTACCATGCATGAAAGCTTCTGTAACAAAAAGCAGTTCTGCCTTCACCACAGTTTTGAACTGCTGAAGTGTTCATGAGACCACTTCATCTTTCTGTTGTGCGTACAGCGAGGTACTTCCGTTACCTGAAGCATGGCCTTGTCGTCATAGAGATCAGGAATGTTCTTGAGCAGGGCTCTCCAGATCCGGACATCATTTAGCACCACGCTCATCCCCCCTCCGGTCAGCGGATGCCGCATGTTGTACGCATCGCCCAACAGCAGGACCCCTAAAAGAATCAAACCAAAAGTTACTCAGAGCTCTGCAATACTCAGGTTCTGGGACTGCGCAGGATGGGTTCTGATGCTCGGGTCAATATCAGAGAAAGGGCTGCATGATATAGACTAGTATAGTGATCATACAGAGTGATTCAAAAAGATTAATCCGATTTCAAAGCGCCATATTTTTACAACCGTGAGTCGTCTAGGAACCAATCACATACCAATTGAAAGAGGGGGTCTTAGAGTTTCTGACTGTCACCGGAAGATGGCCCCCTTCAGTCTGAGAGGAGATGAGACCCCTGAGCAGAAAGCGTTCTGCGTTCTCCACTTCAATAAGAGTGAATCCGTCATAACTGTGCAGTGTGATTTTCGTGGGCAGTGAAGCTCCAACAGCTCAGAGCGTTCGTTGTTGGTTCCACAACACTGGATGATCTCCGAAATCGCACTGAAAGAGCCGTGAGTGCAGCGACACCCGACGTGCTCAATCCAGTATGGGATGAATTTGACTATAGTGTTGATGTTGTCTGTACAGCTGGAGGAGGTTCATATTGGGGTCTTGTAAAATTACATAATAAACTTTATGCTCATTTAAACCATTTACAGTTCACTGCATTGATCTGTAATGATTTACAAGTGAAATGAATCACTTTGAAGTCATTTTGAATCTTTCTGAATCACCCTGTATTAGTACAGTTTGTAAATGTGATCTGCCTTGCTATACATTAAATACATAGTGATTCAACAATGGGGAGGGGTGAAAGAACTGCTCAAGATGCTCAGAACAAACAACAGAAGAGCTCATTTGCATATTGCAGCCTTCTGCGCTATTAATATCGCAAAGAACAGTATCACTTCACCAATTAACAAACGGTATACTGTGTAACTCTAGTCACCAGTCTAACTCGAAACAACAGGGTAAACAGTTAACCTAGAGGGCTTTCAAATGTCCTCACCCTTCACAAACTATGTACATATTCTTGTGTTTCGCGTGACGTCACACTATATAGTCGCCATCATTTTGAGGACTGAATCAGGGAGCGACTGCACTGCGCGATGCCTTCAGTTTGACGTGCTTTGTGAATGATTCACCTGCAAGATGTGACAGAAGCCAAGAGACGAGAGACACACAGACCTTTAATTCAGTGTTTCAGACTCCAGACTTGGAGCCCCTGAACTGTGTAGTGTTTCTCTCTGCTGTTCACCTCGTTCAGCTGAAGAAGGGATTAATTAGCTAATAATATCAGGTATTTTAACCAGGAAACCACAGTTATGCAGTGCAGGGGTTGCAGGACTGGAGCTGAACTCTGAACTAACTGCACTAGCAAACTTACAGAATCACGTCTGTCGAAACACGACGTCGTTTTCAGACCCACGACATTCAGTCTGATATTTAACGTTCATGTTTCTCCATTCAAACCTCATTTAAATCAGAAACAGAGAGTAAAGTTATCCCGGCTGTCTGCAGCTCCGTTAGGGGGACGACTGTTCATCTCTCGGCTGTTAACATCAGCTAAAGTTATCTAAAGGCCAGCATTGATCACATCTGTGTTAATTAGCTGATGTCGTTCCTCCTATGATGACAGAGCTTTTCTCCTCTTTATGCAACACCATGGGATCCTTTACCCACCCTGACATGAAGAGCCGGTGGGCTTCTGTGCTTTTAACTGCTCTGAGAGACTCCAGAACAGGGAGAGGGGCTGAGTATGAGATCAATATAAATGACAGGAAACACAAATTTGGTAGCTTTTCGCCAGTTTAAGTGGGACGAGGAGTTCAGGGGGAAACTGTATAAGGATCACAGACTCTTATCAACTTTGTCATGGTAACGATTTCTCTTCCAGAGCAAGGAGAGTAATTTTAGCCATCTTTCACCTCTATTGAAAGCCAGAAATTCGGTCCCACAACATAAAAATCACGTGACTGAAACTCTAGGATACTGGATCAAGACTAGGTGCATTACTTCTGAATTAAATCTCTATTAAGTAGCAATGCTACATGCTGATCTTGATTATGTGGCCATTAGTGGGTAAATGTACTATAACAGTGAGTCTTTTCATGAGGGTAATATGAAAGCCATGTGCACTTTGTGTTTGTTTTTTGCACATATTGTACACAAAAACTGTGGGTGAAGCTCCCAAACCCCACAGCACAGCTCAGACTCCTACCTGGTTTATTTACTGGTGAAGGTGGCAGGAAGCTTGCAGGCATTGTCCTCAATCTGTCATTTTGCAGGGCAAGCATGAAGGGCTCCTGTAAGTGCTCTACAGAGAGAAAAGCACAAACGTTTACTGCTTAAAACACCAAAGTAAGGAAAAGTTTTTCAGGTGGTGCATTTCAAAACATTGTGATTACTGTATTTCCACTATAACTGTAATTGTTTTGTAATTAACAAGTTAATTTCGGTGTTTATACCCATAAAAATAAAAGAGAAAAGAATAGGTAACACAAAAATAAAAGGAAAAACTATAGGTATAAAATTAATGGACATAATAATCAATACAAAAACAAGTACAGACCGAAAAGGTGCAGTCTGAAGCTATAGCTTATTTTGACTACCTTTTATAAATCATATACAGTCCTGCATTTAAACAATACAGAGTAATATCAAAACAGAAAGAAAATCAATCAACGTAACAAAACTGGGCAAAATGAGAGCAGACTTGGTGTTAAAGTGTAAGTCTGCCTTGCCTGGTAGCTGAGGATGAATTTTCTCCACCATGTATGTAGAGAGATCTCGAGGCATCTCTCCCCTGATATCCACCAACACTCTAGTTTCATTTGAGGAGATCTGGTAGATCAGCACTGGACTGGGGTCGGCCAGGACCAGCTCTGCATGGTTGGCTTTAAACTGGGGGCAGTCCTGGGAGAGCACAGAATACATCACATCACTATACACATGAACAAATGGGGAGAATATAATTTTAAAATAGCACTTATTTTACTGCTTTACAGTTTAAGAACTCTCTCTGAACTTTTAGCGACTTCCACTCACAATAACTTCCACAAACAGGAACTACTGTTGTAGAGACAATAAAAGTAGTACGTAAGTTGCTCAAAAGTATTTACATGAATACTTTGTCATTTATTTATTGATCCTACCTTCATTACGCATCCAACAAAGTGGGAAGACACCCTGACCTTCCCAGAGACGAGGTTCTTACGGAACTTGGAGAAGCAGCCATCAGCGACTACAGTCAGTGGAGCATAGATCTCCTGAGAAGACAGAAACAGTGTGAGGAATCCTCTTTATGCTGCTTTGTAAATATGCATATATTTCAGGGAGGCCCTGTTAAAGAAAAAAAGATGCTCTATGAAATGTACAAACTTTACACCGATCAGGCGTAACATTATGACCACCTCCTTGTTTCTACGCTCATCTTATCAGCTCCACTTACTATATAGGTGCACTTTGTAGTTCTACAGTTACAGACTGTAGTCCATCTGTTTCTCTGCGTTGGTGTGTGTTGTGCTGGTACGAGTGGATCAGACACAGCAGTGCTGCTGGAGTTTTTAAACACTGTGTCCACTCACTGTCCACTCTATTAGACGCACCTGCGTTGTTGGTCCCCCCTGTAGATGTAAAGCCAGAGACGATAGCTCATCTCTTGCTGTACAGTATGAGCTAATCATCCTCTAGTCCTTCATCAGTGGTCACAGGACGCTGTTGGCTGGATATTTCTGGTTGGTGGACTATTCTCAGTCCAGCAGTGACACTGAGATGTTTAAAAACTCCAGCAGCACTGCTGTGTCTGATCCACTCGTACCAGCGCAACACACCACCACCACATCAGTGTTACTGCAGTGCTGAGAATGATCCACTACCCAAATAGTACCTGCTCTGTGAGGGTCCATGGGGGTCCTGACCACTGAAGAACTGGGTAAAAGGGGGCTAACAAAGTATCAGAGAAACAGATGGACTACAGTCTGTAACTGTAGAACTACAAAGTGCACCTATGTAGTAAGTGGAGCTGATAAAATGGACAATGAGCGTAGAAACAAGGAGGTGGTCATAATGTTATGCCTGATCGGTGTATATAAGCTTTGTATGTGAAAAGATATCTAGGTCTATGAAGAGTAGTGAGCAAAGTACTTACGCTAAGAAATGAAACTATTCAGTCAGTAAAGATGATATGTTCATAATTCATTCTTTTCCAAGGCAAACGTTTTGAGACTAGCTATGAATTTCGGTAGAGTAATCCTGAAAATCTTCATCTAGGGAATCTAGAGGAGTGTGTGTTTACCTTAATTTTCCCTGTTTCCTTCTCTCTGTACTGAATTCCCGTCACACAGCCATCCTCCTCCTCCAGACTGGTCACCGTGCCCTCTACAAACGTCACACTGCAAGAACAAAAACGCCATCAGACTCTTTTCTTTACAAACAGCACACAAAGACAGAAGATCCTTGCCAAGTCACCTTGTAATGTTTCATTATCTGTGAGATCCTAAAAATGTGGAAAAAGACAATAGCTTTGATAATATTATTCAACCCTGAACAAACTAGCAATGATTAGATAACATCTAGATAGAATAACTACAAAAAAAAGTTGTGAAAATGTAAATCAATAGGGAAACACTCTGGCAGCTTAGCAAGCACCACAGAGGAGAAAACTACAATACCAGGAATACCATTTTAATCTACTCAATCTTGTGACTTTTAGGCCTGCCGACGTAACACAACCAATTCCAGCTGAGACTCTTCCAGTTTCAGAAAAGATAATTATCTAATCTGTGAACTGTTCAGTTAGTGTACAGAATGCAATTATATCTCTCAATAACTATTCTAACATTTTTATGAAATACTTGTCATAGAAAAGCCATATATAAGTGTTTAACGTGAACCGATACAGTATATTTAGGCTACGTTCACATTACCAGGCTGAAGTGGCACAAATCTGATTTTTTTTGGACGAGCAAATCTGATCTTTTCAAATTCAACCTGAACCACTTTCATATGTGGTCCTAAATCGGATACATATCCGATTAGTGGCCATGCAACCTTAACGAGATGCTCAGATCGGAATTCATGTGATTTTTGTGCGTGTCATCATTCAGCGTTACCATGGCAGCAGCGCCGAAAAGAAGATAAAGCCTGTAAACGGTGGAAAAGCAGCACATCTCACCTTTTTCTCCTTCGTCTCGCTCTAATAATGAAGCTGAGAGCTGATCAGAGTTAATGATCTTCTCAGCGAAGCTCGTTCTGCTCGTTAGTTTGTGCTGATGATGCTCGTGATTCATTCACGTGACGTTACTGAGTAGGATGAGCTCAAGAGGGTCATTTCAGGACGGCGGTTCATCACATTAATGACAGATTTGAATCACTTACCTAAACGAGTGTGAACCATCAAGTCAGAGAGATCGGATTTGAGCAAAAAATCAGATTTGAGCAATGAAGCTTGTAATGTGAACGTTTCACACTCTGCATTAAACCTTCAGGAACAGAGATGGGCACCCCAAGGCAAAGGTTCAGTCCTAAAGACCCACTGAACTGCAGAGTCTCATGGTCTCCCCGCATTTATGATATTTTATGATATAATTAAGAGCTGAGTTAGCTGAGGTGTGTTATAACAGAGGAAACAATACTATCTAGACTGAATATCTGTGTGTAGTGTTTTCGTTAGAGGCTTACTTGGGGTCTTTTAGGGCAGCGCGGCGCAGGCCCATGATGAAGCGACCATGGTGGAAGGCCCGGCCGCACTGAACTCCGTACTCGTCCTGGGGGTATGGGATCTCCACCTCGGAACAGCTCTCTCTGTCGTGAACTACATAACCACAGACCACGTGGGCATCCAGGCCTTCTACTGCATCTGAGAGGACACCAGCAGGAAAAAGGATTAGCAAAGACTTGATACCAACTTTTGGTCATGAGGTTCTTTGGTTTGGGTATATTTTCACCTTTAAACTGGTGCCCTAACCTGCATGTTGATGGCAATTAATGTTAACCCTTGTGTGGTGTTCAGGTCTGTGGGACCCATTTTCAGTGTTTACCAAAAGAAAAATGATGTGATTTATTATTATTTCAACCTCAGATTCTCAGCCTTTGCTCATTTTCTGTAAAGAACATATAAAATAACCCATTTTCAGTGTCTTCACTCTGTTCACCCCCCACACATTTATATTACACATGTGGTGTTGGGTGAACCTGCGGGGAGTAAAAGTGTGGAGGTGCTGTGTCCTTCACTCTGTTCTCCTCCTACATGGCCTGCTGTTAGTGCGTGTGTGTGTGTGTGTGTGTGTATGAGGGTGGACAACATGGACTGACCACTGATATTTTAAACATCTGGTACTTTTACATAAACTGTTATGGCTGTATTGATTAAAAATACACAATAATGTGGTGGGTCCACCAGACCACTGAGTAACAACCACCTCAACACCACACAAGGGTTAAAATCCAAGTAGTTTTAAGGTCTACTGCATCCATACATCTGCTGCTCCAGCTCGCCATCTGTGATTTATGTTTTTATTGCCTTTTATTGTTTTAATCAATAATTTATTGCAGTGCTTTGGATCACATTTGTTTCTCTTTAACTTGAGGGATTTTTTTTTGCTCAACAGCGCCACCTGTCCCTGATAGACAACAATGTTCTGACAGACAGACCAAAATATCTGTCACTGTGAACCTGAGTCTCCTCACCCTCCAGTCCGAGCTCTCTGAGGGCCTGAAAGCCACCTGGCTGTAAAAGTTCCCCCACGATTCTGTCCGGCTCCCGCAGGTCCCTCTCCACCACAGTGACCCTCCGACCATCTCGCGCCAACACAGCCGCCATCGCTGACCCCAGAACACCCGCACCCACGATGATGATATCCGGCTCCGGGCCGTCAGAGGACGGACAGGCCGAGGCGCCGTCTGTGTTCACAGAGGATTTCGCTTCGGCTCTCTTCCTCCTCAGACCTCCCTGTTAGTGAGGGTAGTGAGAGAAAGAAAGAAAAAAAAGAAAGAAATAGGAAAGAAATGAAAGAAAGAGCAGAAAAAGCAAATAAACAAGAAAGAAAAAGACAGACAGCATAGATGAAGAAGAAATGAAGAAAGAAAAGCCATGAAAAGGAAAGAAATTAAATAAATAAAGGAAGGAAACAAGGAATGAAGAAAGAAAGAAAGAAAGAAAGAAAGAAAGAAATAACAGATGAAAAAAGACGGTAAGAAAGAAGACATGAAAAGGAAAAAGATGAATAAAGGTCAAGGAAAGAAAGCAAGAAAAGAAGGAGTAAGGAAAGAAAGAAAGAAAGAAAGAAAGAAAGAAAGAAAGAAAGAAAGAAAAAAGAAAAAAGAAGCATAGATTAAAAAAACGGTAAGAAAGAGAAGACATGAAAAGGAAAAAAAAATAATTAAGGAAGGTCAAAGAAATGAAAGCAAGAAAAGAATGAGTAAGTAAAGAAAGAAAGAAAGGCTTAATGCTCATCATTAACAGTCCTCACAGAGTAAAAGTCAATCAATCCTTCATATTAAAATATTAAATATGAGGTAAGTTGCTGTAGCTTTACTCCAGTCCAAACTCCATATTTCACTTATCACAGTTTGATTTAACTGATATTCACTGGTTTCCATTATAAAGTTGATCATAAAGTCACTGAGGGGCAAAATCAGTAGAACATCCTACACTGTATAAAGTCTCGCTGCCTAAAAGGGTCAGTAAGGCTCGCGCGGTCCTAACGACCCCGCAGTCATGATGCAGCTCTAAAAATCACCTGCAGACACTAAACTAGAGCAGAGCAGCCGCAGCTGAGCGTTAACGTTACCTTGTTAGTCGTCCCAGCTGGTTTCTTTCCGCCGCAGGTGTCTGACTTAGTGAAGACTTTATTAGTCAGAGGTAAAGTTGATAAAATCTCCACCGCCAGCAGCAAAATCTGAGGCACTTCGTTTCCTCGGTACCTGAGGAAGGTTAGCAGCATGCTAACCGCGATAAAGCCCGCCGCCGCGGACAGCAGCACGGCCGGGTTTATCAGAGAGTCGCACTTCTTATAGACATAAGTGAAGCTCGCTATACTCAGAAAAGTCCACATGACTGTCCTCTAAAAAAAAACAGCAGTGTAAAAAACAACAAGAAGAGAAAATAACTTACAAAAAGTCCCTCAAACTAAAAAATAAAACAATATCGCGCAAAAAAACTCAACTCTGAGGAAAAAGTTACACCAAAAAAGTCGAAACAGACTAAAAATGTGCTTTTTTCTCTGTTTGAAATTGTAAACCTCGCTTCATTTTACGAAGAAAAGCTTTTTAAGTTTTTAAAAAAGTAAAAATTTGTAAAAATTACGTTATAGTATTTACAGCTCCAGCGTTGGGCAGCAGCTGGCTCGAGCCGGCGAGGATGCTGAATAATTTATGCTAATAATGAGCGGCTCCATTGGCCGTTTGTAGGCGCTGGCGTCCCGCCTCCCAGACTCGAATTCAGCCAATCAGCGACGCGTACGCAGTGAGCAGAGCTCACGCTATCTGGCCATTGGCCAATCGGAGGCAGCTGGTTGGGGCACAGACGGCAGCAGCAGTAGTATGATGTGATGTCACGGGAAAGAGGACGATATTCCTCAGGAGCCACTCAGATTCAACTTTTATTGTACTTTTATTATAGTATTTAGACAGTAATTCACTGCAATGTTTGGTGCATTTCTTATTTCATCTATTTTCATATCAATACTGATCATTTTTCGAGCTCCTTCCATCTCTCCAGTGTATGTATGGATAAACTGGTGTTCATATTATTGATAAAGTACATTCTGTAATGATAAAAAAGTGCATATGTATGTGACTTATGACTTCCTTAATTATCTACTGATTTCTAGCAATAAATCTGTTAATGAAACCAAAAAATATAGCCTACATTCTATGTTTATAGACTACTGTATTTTCTGATTATGACAAATCAGTCCCAGTATTAACCCAGAGCATGAGCTATAATCTCTGACACAATCAATGACTAAATGCTGTCAGTATTTCACACACTGATCCCAGTTTAACAGCTTTCCTCCATATAACCGGTCACTGAAGTCACAAATAATGATTAAGGACTGCTTCATATTTTTCTTGCTTCCCTGAAGTGACTTTAGGCTCTCCGTTTTGCCTGATGAACTCCTGTAAATAAATAAATAAGTACATTAATATGTGAATGTGTTATGTCTGAAAAGGAAATACAGGTAATGTAGTACATGAAACAGTGCCAAACCTCTAGGTCTTCCAGTGACGCACTGCCCTCCTCCACTTTCTGACCGATCCCATGGCTGAAGCTTATGTAACGTTCCTGCGTAACACAAACCCCACTACGGATCAGGATGCATGTTCATTAAACTTCTCCAAGTAAGTGGGCTGATCTAAGACCATCAGCCGCTTTTTATGTTATAGTGAATATACAAAGGGGACCTGATCTTAGACCAACTCTCTTACTCAAAGACCTTCAATAATTATTACAATATTTTTTGCATACCTAATAAGTACTAGGAGTTGGAGCAAAAATGATATAATAATGCAATATTTGGGGTTTAAAATTAGTACAGAAATATTATAGTAAAGGAAATAGTAAAGGGCAGTAGAGTAAAGAGGAGAGGCCAAAGAATCAATACTGCATTATTCAGTTATTAATATTTTAACATGTCTTGGACCTCATGTGTCAAACACAAGGCCTGGAGGCCAGATTAGGCCCATAGCGTAACCCTATCTGGCCCACAAAATTATTTTTTAAAATCTTTATTAATATTAGCCCATTTCACAACGCACTGCACTATAACCCCCAGCATGCACTGTAGCATAATGTGCATAATGTAATGTAGCCTATTGTAATGTGCATAATGTTGTGTACTGTAACCTGTTCATATATTTATTTATCTATTTATTTAATTTTTGAATGTTTCAAGTATTCATTAGGCAATATTTCAAGGCTCACTACAACGTCCTTGTTGGTGTTTTGGCGTATTTTGAATAAAAAGCTCAGCTTACAGCAAAATGTTATTTAACAATCAAATAAAAACACAGATGTTCTCTGGCCCACAGAGCTGTAGAGGTTTTTAATATGGCCCTTTTAGTGGCTGAGTCTTAGACCCACTGCTAAGCTAATCGATTACTACACTGTACGTCCACAAGATGGTGCTGTTTCTTTCTGAACAGGCCAGGGTTTCTATCAGTGAAGTCATTGCTAGAAGCAGATTGTGAATTACATGCTGGCCTCTCACACTACAGGGTGATTCAAAATGATTAATCCGATTTCAAAGCGCCATACTTTTAAAACTGTGAGGCGCCTAGGAACCAATCACATACCAATTGAAAGAGGGGGTCTTAGAGTTTCTGACTGTCAGTGGAAGATGGCTCCCTTCAGTCTGAGAGGAGATGAGACCCCTGAGCAGAAAGCGTTCTGCGTTCTCCACTTCAATAAGTGTGAATCCGTCATAACTGTGCAGTGTGATTTTCGTGGGCAGTGAACCTCCAACAGCTCAGAGCGTTCGTTGTTGGTTCCACAACACTGGATGATCTCCGAAATCGCACTGAAAGAGCCGTGAGTGCAGCGACACCGACATGCTCAATCCAGTATGGGATGAATTTGACTATGGTGTTGATGATGTCTGTACAGCTGGAGGAGGTTCATATCGAGCACTTGTAAAATTACATAATAAACTTTATGTTTATTTACAGTTTACTGCATTGTTCTGTAATGATTTACAAGTGAAATAAATCATTTTGAAATCAGATGAATCTATTTGAATCACCCTGTATTATAATGTACCAATAAGAGTCACTCAGTGAGATTCATTACGTTCACCTCTCAATGTAAACGCCTCTGAATAACAGCATCCATTAATTATGTAAGCATAGAGTCTGTTTTAAATGTTGTATGTCTACTTTACAAATCAAAGCATCTGCTAAATGTAAAGACGAGTTCTTTTAAATGTTGATTTGTCTACTTCACAATTCTGTTTTGCTTCAGTAAAATGATTTAGGTTAGATAAAGTGTAAACTTAATGCGATAAAAAGTTTGGAAAGGAACAAACATAAATGTGTCATTTTTCTTCAAATTTATCGCAAAATCTGTATTGATCTGCTGAGTTTAACATATTGGGAAAGAAATAACATATAAAACACTGGACCTTCAACTCATATGAGGGGAGACTGTGTTTGAGGGAGGGATGAGAACTCTAATAGACACTAAATTCTAATGGGCTGGAGTTCTGGGCAACTTGTTTGGAGGGAGAAGGCCAGACCTCCTTGTGGTAGGACCGATAGAACTGAGGAAGAGATAAGATGGTTGTGTGGTGCAAAAACTCTGTCATGGTAAATGGAATGTATAGACTGAACATTTAGGGTATTAGATTGGAGAGACTCCATAATGTGCCATAACATTTGCAGAGGCCACAATTTATGTTTCATTTTTTCCCAACATGTTAAATTCAGCAAATAAACAGTAATAGTAAACAACTGTCCCTTACAATATCAACAAAACATGTGGTTTGATCAGGGGTTCCCAAACTTTTGTATTTAGCAATGTGTCAAATTGTATTTTATACAACAGTTAGTTCCGGCCACGCAACCTGATTGGTTGAGAAGCGTTCTCGTGAAATAACAGCACCTTTTTTCCCCAAACACTGCATCACTCCACTGAGACACCGTTGCTAAGCAACAACTTTGACAGCTGTAGGAGACGCTCAAGCCATTTGAACGTTTTTACTTCTTACTTTGCCACAAACAGAAAATGGACACTTTTAAGATCACATTTGACCGACAGCCGATTTGGTCAGACTCTGAAGATGAGACGACACTAAATTCCCAAACTGTCATCACCACTGAGCAGCTTTTCAGTCGGCAGCTGTGACAGAAGAACCTAAACAACCTGGAATCAGCCAGAAATGAACCCAATACCATTCGCCAAACTAAATGGGCTGTAAGATGCTTTAAAGACTGGCTGAACAAAACAACATTAATACTGATTCAGCAAAAACTGACAAAACTGAGCTAAACTTGATATTGCGCCAGTTTTACGGTTGAGTCTGCACTTCAAAAGGCGAGACTGTGCAGCGAGTGGGCGGAGTTCATTACTCTGACGTGGCAACAAGCTGCTTGTTAAGGAACTATTATTTGGCAGAAGGAACTGAGAACATTAAAACATATTACATGCCGCGTTCACGGCCCAGTTTATTAATTTCTCACTTTATTTATTTAACTGTTGTATGAAAGCAATAAAACACTCGAGGAGTGTGTTACCGCGAATAACATCACGGCTGTGATTTAGTCACAGTAGATCATCACAGCCACGATGTTATTCGCGGTAACACACTCCCTCTCGTGTTCTATTGCTTTCATACAACAGTATGAACAGCATAATCATATCGTGGCTTAAGTATTATGGTGTTATTACATCACAGGGTCTATTGCAATTCCCACCCCTAATAACCACTAAAAAGTGTTTGTGTGAAATGTTTTTGCTGTAACTATGGTTACCTGTAGCATTTTCTGCATGACTCCCTCCTCAATGATCCTGACGGCGTTTCTGAGGCCCCAAGCGAAAGCGTCCATGGCAGCAATGTGAGCAATGAATAAATCCTCCAGGTCAGTTGATTCTCTCCGAACCTTGGCGTCGAAATTTAAACCTCCAGGCTGTAGGCCTCCCTGCTCGACAACAGCCTGAGGGTTTCACCAAAACAGTGTTTTTCTTCAGGCATACATAATCTGAAATCTACTCCCTGCTCCACTATCACTGAATACACTGTGATGCCAATGGAATCAATGGAATGCAAACGGGTAATATTTGGGTGATGGATCATTTCTCAGCACAGCACATACTTAGCCATGTTACTACGATCTAAAAAAAAATGACAATGTGCACACAGTTCTACATTTAGAGAGTACAGATCTTTTTCCATGCATAATTTGTTGGTCATCTTCTAACCCAGGGCCAGTGTGACCTGTGGGGATGTTTGTTTTGGCCTATGAGAAAGTTACTCAAACTCCACCTCCTCACCCAAACGAGAAGATAAGGGTCATTCTACAGAAACGTCCACTTTTTTTATCTGTCCATAAGAGTCACTGGTGTTACTGATCGTCATTGGTGCTACACATAATAAGGGTAACACCAGAGACATTTTAATGAACTATGAATTTTACAAAATGGCTGCTACAGAGCATCAAACCACGTGTTGTCAATCATGGAATATCCACTAAAATATGTAATTTTATCCATTTGTGTTCTATTTTTTTTTTCACAATGACCTCAGAATAAAGTCGGTCACACCAGTGACTTCAGCTAAAAGCTTCATATGAAATCATGAGCTAAATGAGAAAATCTCTGATAACTGAAAGACACAGTGGACTCACCATGAGCTTTTCTTCATAGATCCTCAGAAAACAGGTAAAAGGAAGTCAAGTGATGTCATCAGTGTGATTTTTATTTCAAAATAAGAGATTTTTTGTTACGCAGTAACACCAGTGACACGACTCCTGGGGACCTTTCATTACATATTTTATAATATTTATTTGGCATTTGTTTTCTTTGTCATTTAAATCATATATTTCATAGTCATGTATAGATTATTGCAGTTAAAATTGCAGAAAAAAGTTTTCCACCTCAAAATATGGCCTCAGCCTTCACACATGACTGTGGAGACTTCTGTGGTGGAATTCTAAATAATTGAATTAAATATTGCTAAATTGAGGCTCAGGAAGGTGTAGCTGTTAAAATAACTTGTTTTCTTTTAAAATATAAATTAATTGTATTCCTAACATGTTTTTCAAGTGTAATATATCTGTAAACGCTAAGGAAAACAAAGATGGACGTTTCCATAGAACAACTCATAAACATATTTATATATACTGTGGAAAAAAACTGTAAAAAACAGTAAAACGTCTGGCAGCAGAAATAAAAGAGTAAGAGTAAAAGTAAAAGAGTAAAAGTATATCTTCTCAATGATCTGTAAAATTACAGTAATTTAATTGTTTAGAAATACCTTTTAAAGCCTTTTACTGTAACTCAAAGAGTTTCACTAGTTCTACTAGTCACTCTGATATACAGTATTTCACCTGTAAATGTAAATGTCTGTGAAGTAAAGATGATCAGAGAACAAACTCAAATATGGCTTTTCTGCACAATTTGAGTTTAAAGTCTCTATTTATATGCTGCATTTAACCTACTGGAAAACATAAAATGTACTTAAAACTTTTGCACAGGCCACATTTTATGTTTTATTTTTCCCCCAGTATGTAATTGTGCATTAAAATGTGCAGACATGTGTTCTCTGCAAAAGTGTGTTAACTTATTTTCACTTAGAAATCAACAAAACATGTAATTTGACCAGGAGAGCCCAAACATTTGCATATAACTGTCCATAATTTAATAAATAATAAATTCTTATTTTCCTTTATTTTAAGTGTTTAAGTAACTGCCTATATCTGAAACCTACCTACTTTCTCAGCTCACTACAAACACTGCACTTTGGCCCCCCACCCCCAACACAAAAAGTTTGTTTTAGCCCATCATCAGTGGTCAGTTTCTGACCACAGACTTGGCTGGATATGTTTGTTGTTGCAGACCTAACAGTGACACTGACGTGTAAAACCCCAGCAACTGCACTGTATCCATAACAGCACAGTGTACCGAGTCTCACTGCTGTGCTGGGAGCGGTCCACTATCCAAATAATATCTGGACAACAGTGGTTCTATTGTGGTCCCTTTCCACTGATGGACAGGGTAGACTTGGTAGACAAGTGCAAAGCAACTTCTAAAAATGCGAAAATATCCACTTAAATTTCTGAAGTCACCTTCATCACCAGGGTTGTGTTTCGGATGTCCATGGGAAACTGATCGGTGTCCCAGCCCAAATCTGGAGATCCAGTGTTTGAGTCCACAGAGCCCAGCATTCCAAACCTGCATCACACACACACACGTTTGTCTTGCTATACATATGAGGACATTCATAGGTATCTATTGATTTTTGTGTTACTGTAGTTAAATAATACTACACCTAAACCTAACCCTAACCTTAACCTTAACCTCAGAATCCAAAAGGCAACTTTTCTTTTAGTTTTCAAATAAAAAGAGTTATTGTAGTGAAAAACACAAAAATGTCCAGCAAAATGTCCTCACTTCAGCAAAAATTTCATATAGTCCTATCATAGTGAGGACATAGGGTCCTCACAAGGATAGCACTACAAGAACACACACACACAAACACACACAACCAGCCAACCAATGGGGTACACAAATACACAGCAACCAAAGTTCCAAATGAATGCCAGTAAATAATAAAGAACAGCATACGCAGAGGCCATGATGATGTCATGCTCATAAGAATGTCCTGCCAGGGTGGTGTGGTTGGGCTCGATGTTAAGTTTGAAGTCTCTGTCCAATCCGAAGTGCTTCAAAAAGCCGATAACACTCATTGCATCTGTCAAAATGAACCAACTTTTAATGTCTAGGTAATATTTCATGCTTAGTAGGTACCACTACTGTTAAACAGCACTTTAGTAATATACATGAGCATCTTTAACCCTTGTGTGGTGTTCAGGTCTGTGGGACCCATTTTCAATGTTTACCAAAAGAAAAAATGATGTGATTTATTATCATTTTAACCTCAGATTTCTTGGCTTTTGCTCATTTTCTGTGAAGAACATATAAAATAACCCATTTTCAGTGTCTTCACTCTGTTCACGCCCTACACATTTATATTACACATGTGGTGTTGGGTGAACCTGCTGGGAGTAAAAGTGTGGAGGTGCTGTGTCCTTCACTCTGTTCTCCTCCTACATGCCCTGCTGTTAGTGTGTGTGTGTGTGTATCTGTGTGTGTATGTGTTTGTGTGAGGATGGACAACATGGACAAGCTGCTGACTGGCTACAGCTGCTAAAGTAGAACCCTACGCTGGCCACTTAATAATAATGCGGTGGGTCCACCAGACCACTGACAAACAAACACATCAAGACACCTCATAAGGGTTATTGTAAAATTTGAAGAGTAACGAGAGCTCACCGTAGTCATACTGGTGCTTGCATGGCTCCTTCGGCTTGGGCTCAATGAGAAACTGGCATTTCAAGCCGATCTTCTCTTTATAAGCTGCAAGTCAGACTAAGGTTAGCACCTTTAGATAAGAAGAACTGACATAATAACACTCAAAAGGAATCCACAATGCTGCTTCGCACCCACTGCCATTTTGAAAAAGTTGGCCATGTGCTTCAGTTCAGCTGCTACGTCTGTGTTGAGTATGGACAGGAAGCCCTCCCGGCCACCCCAGAACACTGGTCAGACACAAGCAGAAAGACTGTCATGGTTAACACAAAAACAACATACACAGTGCATCATAAATGCCATTAGTTGTTACATTATGTGCGAATACGTGTCGTTATGTGTGTACATGAACAATTAAAGTCATTTACTCCACTCTCCTCCTGCCCCAAATGTAGTGGACCAGTCGAGACATGTTTTGTGTCTGTAGTTTGCTTTTTTAGTTTTACACTGGAGCCACAAGGCTAATATACAGCGAGGGGAAACAAGTATTCAGACATTTCTGTTTTTGTTGTTTAATATATCCACCTCTGTTGTGCACATATAATGTCTTTTAACTTCAACAAGAATAAACAAAAGATACACCGATCAGGCATAACATTATGACCACCTCCTTGTTTCTACACTCATTGTCCATTTTATATTTTTGGTTGGTGGACTATTCTCAGTCCAGCAGTGATGCTGAGGTGTTTAAAAACTCCAGCAGCACTGCTGTGTCTGATCCACTCAGACCAGCACAACACACACTAATACACCACCACCACATCAGGGTTACTGCAGTGCTGAGAATGATCCACCACCCAAACAGTACCTGCTCTGTGAGGGTCCATGGGGGTCCTGACCACTGAAGAACAGGGTAAAAGGGGGCTAACAAAGTATGCAGAGAAACAGATGAACTACAGTCTGTAACTGTAGAACTACAAAGTGCACCTATATAGTAAGTGGAGCTGATAAAATGGACAATGAGCGTAGAAACAAGGAGGTGGTCATTATGTTATGCCTGATCGGTGTGTATATATATATATATATATATATATATATATATATATATATATATATATATATATATATTATATATATATATAAAATAAATTTTTACTTTAAATTACTCACAGCGTCAATACAATGCTAAGGCAAACTTTAGACACCAAACATGTCTTGACTGATCAAGTACACTTGGGATAATAAAGGGATTTTTCTTGCCAAACTGTTGCTTTAAGTGTAAATGCAAAGCCACTCTCACCAAAGTTTTCAGCCCCCAGCTTCTTGGCTATTTCTAGACCTTTTTTCACTTGTGCTCCAGCATAGGCCAAAACATGACTGTCTGGGTTAGTGGACGCTCCATTCATATACCTACATGTTTACAACATACAGGATCAATTTTATGATGTTGGGCTTAAACTGCACAGATTTCTTAAAGAACCTGGGGGACTGACCTGGGATGGGCGAACAGGTTGCAGGTGATCCATAGCACTTTAACCCCTGTCTGCTTCTGGAGCTCCAGAGCCACGTCTGTGATTTCATCCAGGTTTCTATTGGATTCCTCCAAAGTGTGGCCCTCAGGGGCCATGTCCCTGAGACAGTATTCGAACATAAACAGTATCTAAACATAACAGAATGTAAAAATAAAATTGAATGGTTCACATAAAGTCCGATACATACCTGTCATGAAAAGTGTAGTACTTCACCTAGAATGAAAACAGTCACTTTTTTATTTATTTGACTATTATACTGTACATCACAAAGTATAGATCAGTGGGTTCTATATTCAAAGAAGTATTTTTTGCAGTAATACAGGCATATATCATTTTTTAAAAGCATATTTTATACCAAAAGCTGGTAAGAAAATTTTTTCAAGAGATAAAAGTCAGTAATATGTTTATTAAAACAGCACAAAAGGGTTTAGATTAATGCTGTCAAAATGACTCTGATTCTCAATGTTTTAGACTCTGATTCTCAGAGTTTTACTGCAGCTCTAGTCAGACACACCTGATTCTTCCATTCAGACGCTCCTGAAAGTTTAGTCAGCTCAATCAGTGGGTAGATGAATGGAAGTAGACTTCTAATACCAAAGACTACAAAGGCTTTTACCATATATGTGCACAATGCTAGCGTAAGAGAACAGCACTGCAAATGGAATGAAATGGAATTCTGTGGTTGGCTGGTTGGACTAGATGGCAACAAAACAATGTGCTGGTTCTTTTTAGGTAGTGTACTTAACTGTAGCTCAGGGGTTCTCAACGTTTTCCACCCCAAGGCCCACCTGATTACAACTATAAAGCGTAGTGGCCCACAGAAAAGCTATAATCAACTTTTTTTTTTAATAGTTTTCTTTTTTGTCTTTATTGCTCACACTGAAAACCTCTGAATTCGGGTCTTTATGTCTGCAGAGAAGTCAAAAAAGGGGGGAAAAGAAAAAAAAAGGTACATGTAGATGTGGACTGTGATTTGGAGCTGCAGTCCATCGCGTTTTCACTGAAAATACTCAATTGGCTTTCCCACAGGAGTAACTGTTTGGTCTCGAGACGTCTCTTTATTTTTGAAGGTTTTAGCGCCTCATTTGAAATAACCCTCACTAAACTCAGTGGGCTTTTGGGTCAGCGTCGTCACAGTCAACAATAATGATAAACCTTACTTGAAATCTGCTCCTCTGTCGTTAGTTCATCAGTTTGAGTTTGACTCAGGTCGCTGATGCTCGGCCAGAAATCAAACACATCTCTTCGCTATTATTTTAAGCCTCGTCTGTCATTTTTATCAGCTGCAGCTCAAGCTGCAGGAATGATACGAGAGCAATGAAGGTCTGTAAAGTGTCAGATGTTAAAACAGAAAGATTATGCTGACAGTACAGCCCCGACATGCTGATAGAGGAAGAGGAAAGCCAGCTCTATTGATGAATTACCTTGTTTGAGCACAAGATGTTTTCCCACCAGCAGCGAACTTGTTTGGTTGGAAACGGACCGAGACCCACGGTTTCTGACGGATCAGTTCAGGTGTATGATGCAGACCCAAATACGGGCGGAGTGTTCATACATGTCAAAACGGAGCGAACTACAGAAAAAACTTTGATAGGTCCGCACCGAACAAGGTAGGAGAGAGCGCCCTGAGGAACCTCTCCATCTCTGGCTAACTGTCTGCACTGCACGCCGGCAGCTGCACTGTCTCCAACTGATGACGCTGGCCTACACTCAGGGGGAGGCAGTAGTTCGTAGAAGCCGGTAGAGTAAAACACGTTTTTATTTACACGTCTCTACCGGCTTCTACGAACTAATGCCTCCCTCTGAGAGTAGGCCAGCGGACGACTAGAGGGTGCTTCATGACCCACCGGTGGTCCACGGCCCACAGGTTGAGAAACCCTGGTGCAGCATATTTTAAACAATCTTCATTTGCATTCACACATTTGGTACAGCTGCGAATGTGAAACACAGAAATGAACTCGTAAAACTGTCGTACCCCAAGCTTCGTGAAGAACTCAAAGGCTGCGCTGAGTCTTTTCTTTGCTATCTCCATGTCACTGTCTCCTTCATTCCATGGCCTACAGAGGGTGGGGGAGCCAAATGGGTCGGCTCCTGATAGAAAGAGCGAAATGAATACGTCTGAGGCAGTGGTGGGCAACATGTCACAATACACAATACAAGACACTGTCATGGCACTAAATATATATATATAAAGGTTTTTTTTGGAGGTTTGTGAACAAGTTGGAATGGATACAATAAACCAGCAAATAAGTAGTGCCACCTTTAAAAAGTATCTTTAATTCATCATCAAGTAAAGGGATGAAGGAAAAATGAAGATCATAGTGAGCTAACATCCAATCAGCTACTTGTTACTATGCATTGTCCCATAGTGTGACCCTCCATACTATTACTACAGCACTACAGCCTCCCACTATTTACTGTGGCTGCTTTTAGCTTTGCTAACTCTTCCCCCTATTAGAAAATATCCATTATTTATGGGCAGAGTGTTCCTAACAGATCACACTTTCGCGGCCCACTAATGAGTGGCATCGCCTGTGACAGCGGGCAGCTGTGTTATGCATCTTGAGTATGCTAATGGTCTTCGATGCTTGCTCATTTAAATTGCTCTGGCCTTTCAGCCCCGCCACTTAACTGTCAAGTGTCCATTGAAGGAGATGTGCATACAATAGTAATTACTTCACGTCAAGCTGAGCAGGTCTGCTGTGATGATGGAGCCGACTTACCAGTCCCACAGAAGGAGTGCCAGTAACACACGGAGAATCGGAGCCAATCCTCCATCTTTCTGCCCAGCAAAATCTGCGAATAAAGATGTGGACATACTCTACACTGTTAGAAACGAAGGTGCTGTGCAGGTGTATTTTTATTCATCAAGGTACAAACAATGTAAAGGTTCCCTCAAAGGTACAACAGTGGTTTTAAGGTCTGATTGTGAACCTTCAAGTTTTCCAGGTGAAAAGTTCATATCTGTATGTTTGCATAAGCTAATGTTTCAAAACAAAGCAATAAAATAAAAGCCTGGAGGCGAGACGGGGTGTGTGGAGTCAGTACAGCTTAGAAAATATCATTTCAGTGGATTATGGTACAGTTATGTTCCCTGACTAAAGGTACTGAGATGTACCCTTGAGGGTCCCACCCCAGTGACAAGAGGGGTCCTGCCCCAGTGACAGTTTAGTACCTTTATTTCTGAGAGTGTGGGGTACTGTGGGAATTATATACACCGATCAGACATAACATTATGACCACCTCCTTGTTTCTACGCTCATTGTCCATTTTATCAGCCCCACTTACTATATAGGTGCACTTTGTAGTTCTACAGTTACAGACTGTAGTCCATCTGTTTCTCTGCATACTTTGTTAGCCCCCTTTTACCCTGTTCTTCAGTGGTCTGGACCCTCACAGGACCACCATAGAGCAGGTATTATTTGGGTGGTGGATCATTCTCAGCACTGCAGTGCTGCACTAGTACGAGTGGATCAGGCAGAAAGGCCTCAGTGTCGCTGCTGGACTGAGAATAGTCCACCAACCAAAAATATCCAGCCAACAGCGTCCTGTGACCACTGATGAAGGACTAGAGGATGACCAACACAAACTGTGCAGCAACAAATGAGCTATCATCATACGTCTACAAGGCTGACCACAAAGGTAGGAGTGGACACAGTGTTTAAAAGCTCCAGCAGCACTGCTCTGTCTGATCCACTCGTACCAGCGCAACACACACTAACACACCACTGCAGTGCTAAGACTGATCCACTGCCCCAATAATAAGTGCTCTGTGGTGGTCCCGTGAGGGTCCTGACCACTGAAGAACAGGGTAAAAGGGGGCTAACAAAGTATCAGAGAAACAGATGGACTACAGTCTGTAACTGTAGAACTACAAAGTGCTTCTATATGGTAAGTAGAGCTGATGAAGTGGACAGTGAGGTGGTCATAATGTCATGGCTAATCAGGGTAAGTTGGAGGTATTATAGTGAGAACCACTCACCTCTGAGGCGCTGTAGTGCTTGAAACACAGCACCTCCTGAGCACTCGCATCTGGTACATAAGGAATCTTCGAAATCCCTTTATTAATAACATAAAACACAGACGTTAAGAGCTGGATGGCCTTTGATTTACTAGATGTACAAGATTAACCGTAGTTAAAGCTGCCTTAGGTTCTTCTGTGACTGCAGTTCAACCTCAAGTGAATCAGGTGTGACCTCGTAAACTAAGCCACAGGGCCGCTGTGTAAAGTTCACGCTAAACGGGTTTCAGCGTGCAGAGGTAACAATGAAATGAAGAAACCGTTCAAGTTCTTCGGAAACACGACTCTTCAGTCTATACGAGGGTGTTAAATTGGCCTCCTTCGCCAACTTCTTATCAGAATTTTCCGTTCCACCTTAAATGGTGCAGCCGTTACATTGCCACTTAAGGTGGAACGGAAAATTCGAAGAACTCCAGCTGCGTTCAGTCTGTTGTGAAGCATTTCTCTAAGCTTTTTGACAACCTCGAATGCAAATCTTGAAAACCTGAAACTCAGAAGTATATTAGACCATTTTTACCTGTGAAAAATTCTGAGTTTGTCGACATGGCAAAAGTTGTCGTCCCGTCCGCTTTGTTTTTGTACTGTCAGTCTCACAGTTGACCACAGAGTGTCGCTGTTGAGATCACACGCCTTCCTCAGTCTTTCTCTATAGCAGTGGCTATTTTAAAGGGGAAATCTCTCAGACACCCCCTTGTCCTCTTTAACCCTTGTGTGGTGTTCAGGTCTGTGGGACCCATTTTCAGTGTTTACCAAAAAAAAAATGATGCGATTTATTGTTATTTCAACCCCAGATTTCTTGGCTTTTGCTCATTTTCTGTGAAGAACATATAAAATAACCCATTTTCAGTGTCTTCACTCTGTTCACCCCCCACACATTTATATTACACATGTGGTGTTGGGTGAACCTGCGGGGAGTAAAAGTGTGGAGGTGCTGTGTCCTTCACTCTGTTCTCCTACATGGCCTGCTGTTAGTGTGTTCGGTGTGTATGTGTTTGTATGTGTGTGTGTCTGTGTGTGTGTGTGTGAGGGTGGACAACATGGACAGGCTGCTGACTGGCTACAGCTGCTAAAGGAGAATCCTACACTGGCCACTTGTGATATTTTAAACATCTGGTATTTTTACATACATTGTTGTGGCTGTATTGATTTAAAAAAACAAAAATGCGGTGGGTCCACCAGACCACTGAGTAATATCAACACCACACAAGGGTTAAGGCTGTAAAACTCTACTAGACAGCAATGAACTGTCCCTGGTGGCAGTCGAACTCAATCTATAACCTCAACTGATGTAAACTTGTTTATTATCACAGTTTATTATTTTATTACTACTTATTTGTGTTTATATTACTTTCATTTAAATTCTTATTCATTTCATTTCTATTATATTGTCTACAACTTAAAATATTTCTGTATTTTTTTTTACTTTTTTATCCATCTTCTGTTAGGTTATGGTTGTGTGGGTGGGGCTGGGTAAGATGTTGACATCTTATTACATGTTTTATATGCAGTGGTTGGAAAAAATGAGTGTAATTCTTATCCTTCTCCATATCTTTCATATTCTTATACAAAGACCCCATCAAATATATATATATATATATATATGTGTGTGTGTGTGTGTGTGTGTGTGTGTGTAAAAGGGAAATCCACCACATTTTAGACATTTCTGCACAATTGCTGAAATGTCAATAAAGACATTCAGAGTTGTTTGGTGTGAAACGGTGTCTTGTAGAGGAAGTGACAGACTCCAGTCTCTTTACAGTGGTGGTGAAAGGAACCAGGTGTCCCAACTACAGTGCTAATGTAACCATTTTATTTGCTGTGCAAAATGTCCAGTGAATCCACACTTGTCCTCTGAGTTTTAATATGTAATGTTAATAATGGTAAAACAGTGGTAAATTAAAAAAAAAAAACAAACAAAAAAACTTTTAAGATTTTGAAATTAAGTTTTAAGAATTTTACAATTTAAAATACATTTTAGACAAAATCCTATCTCAGATCTATCATTAAAGTGTCTCCGGCATCAGGCAACCTATTTGTATTTGTTGTTTTAATGTAATAACGTTCTGCATCGTTACTTTTAGAGTCATTGAACTCTTCTGACGTCTGGTTCCCATCACCACCACTGTGAACAATTCCGATGCTAGAATTGTTTCTACAGAACGGGTGATTTCATAATACGCCACTCTCAGTGACTTGCTTTATATCTTAACTATTTAATTATGCAGAAATTTTGTAAAATCAAAAGAATTTATTAATTTTATTTACTGTATTTTTTTGTAATCTCTCAATAAAAACTGAATATGCAGTTAAATTTACTCTCAATGAGTCTTTCTGAGAACAGAATCTGGCCTAACGCACAATTTACTGTTCAGTACCTCATTCGTTTTATTGTAATGATGTAATACAAAATATCTGATGTGCAAAAAAAAACAAAAACAAATCAACAGAAATGTAAAAACACGAGACAGCATCCACATTCGTACGACACACTATGTACATACATTATAATACACCAAAACAAAAACATCAATCATAGCCTTTGGTCTGGAACCCCCGAAAAACAATCAAATCTGTAGCAGAGTTTGCATTGTGTATATACTGGTTACTGCTACAGCCCTGCCATTTTCTCATTTAAAACACCATACACGGTGCAGCTTCCATGAACACAACGTTAAGATATAGTTTGCATTGGCCGAGAAAGGGTCACTCGCATGTCCCTTTTTCTGTTATATATTAAATAAAGAATTTTTTGCATAATACGATGGAAGGCAAAAGAAACCCAGCAAACACCAGGCGCTGGACATGAGGCACTTTAGCGCCCGGCAACCCGGCCCAAATACCCCTCTGTGCAAGCTGAATGTGGGTGGAGTCAAATGTTGAGCCCTGTTCAATACTGAAATTGAGTGAACGTTTAACCCAGTCAATCTTTTTAATATGAAGAATTAGGCAAGATCAAATGTTTAGCCCCACTGCCTACCTGTAATCAAGCGTTAACAAGTCAGTGGACACAAAGAAGAGCAGAGCCTCAAAAACTACTCAATATCTTCAGTATTTAGCATGACTGACGTTATACTATGACAAATTTAATTGGGCATAAACAGACGGAGCTACTGAGAAACGATACTCAGAAATTTCTATTGGCTATAAAAAGATATTGGCTGGATTATTTGACGAGCCTACAGTTGTGTCCCAAATCTTCTCTAGTTTCCCTTGGAGTGAATTACCTATGGAAGGAAAATGAGTGACTTGATCAGGGCCTAGATTTACTGGAACATTCAAATATACAACCCGTCCAGAAAACTTGTTGCCTAATCAAACTGCGTCAGTAGAATAGCAGTAAGCCAACTGCCATTAAGTCACTGTCCAAAGAAAACAATGTATCTCTATTTTTTGTTTATTTTTATTTTTCTACATCATTTCAACACATCAACTGTCCTTTACGCTGTGTGAAAATTTCATGATGAATGGACAAATAGAAATGCTCTAAGATCACTTAGAATAAAATCTCTTTATATTACTTTACACTGAAAGGTGAGAATGTTTTAGTCTCTCCTGTAAAGTTACTATTTTGGCAATACTTGGTTTTCTTTGGACAGCGACAAGATTGGAGATCGGTTGTTGATTTTGTAAGTGAGAATAAGTACACAGTCTACAGGGAACCTACTTTAAAATGGCATTTCCTGCAAACTGTAGTGCTTAAACTGTATTTATTATGTAAAATGTGCCACAACTTTTGCAGAGGCCACAGTTCATGTTATAGGTTGCTCCAATACGTTAAATTCAGCAAAAAAAACAGTAATTGTGCATGAAAGTGTGGAGAAGTGTGTTCTCTGTAGAGGATGTGAAACTTATTTCCACCTAGAAAATCAACAAAACATGTAATTTGACCAGGAGCACCCAATCCTTTGCAATACAATTGTATTTATTTGCTGTCAGATTGGTTTGCATTCTGGGAAACACTAAGGACTCAGAATCATCACCTACATTCTAAGTTCTTCACTGTTTCTGTTGTTGATTTGGAAAGAGACTTAAATAAATAAGAATTATTATTATTAATATTATTATCATCATTAGTAGTAGTAGTAGTACATTAGGACACCACTAAAAATGGTTGAATCAACAGTTAGTCCCACACAGAGTGGACACAGGTTCAATCTGACATGCACACTAAACCACTACGTCTGATTGGCTAAGAAAGTGCACATGTGCAGCGTAGAATGGAGCAATGGCAGCAGTCAAAGTAAATCCGTACAGTTCACTGCAAGCCAACAGTCTCCAGCTTCTGTAAAACAAAGAATCTTTAAATTAAGAGACAGTTCTGTTCGACATGTAGTTAAGTTCCCACTTCCATTTATGGAATATTAAGGGCGGAGCTAAATATTAACACTGCCCAACATGCGGCTCCAGCCCCACATCCAGCTTGCACTGATAGGCTACTCAACCACAACGCGCTTTTGGCATGTAATAGCGGTACAGTACAGTAGATGGCGATAGAGGGCAGACGATACAGCACTGCCTGTAAGAGTCGTGGTTTAAAACGTAGGTTACGCTACTGAATCTGGTGGCTTCTGCTCTTTTGTCATCTTCTTCTTCTTCTTCTTTTTCTCTCCTTTCTTCCTGTGGCAGGGCTTGCACACGCAGCACAGGATGCACGGAGAGGCCAGCAGAAGCAGAGGTGATGTCACCAGCACGATGATGGTGACCCCCACCAGGATGCCTGCCACCTGCCCAGAACACAGAGCTGGAGGTTAGGGTGGCCAAAATTATGAGATGTACATAAATCACAATTCATCTCACACATCTCTTTACGAAACTTACTGATGGTTGGGCCCAAATTTAAATTGACACACAATTTTCCCACTTTATCCTAAATGTAGTCAATCAGACAAGATATGTTTAATGTCTAAAGACTGATTGTTTAGTGTTGCACTGAAGCCACACAGCTAATGTGGCCAACAAGTAATGGAAGCTTATAGTTAAGGGTGGGCGATATGGCAAAAATTTAGCATCACGATACTTTTACTGATACATGATATTTAGGTATTTAGATATTTGAGGCTAGATAAGTTGGAACAGGCAAACAAGACCACATTTAAAAACTACTATTAATGTTTTTTAGTCAATGATTCACAAACCACACTGCACCAAAACAGATAAGCAGATAATGATGCTCTCTATGTAACGAAACATGCAGCTGGTCAGTGCTCTTTAAAGCCCCTGTCTACTCATTTACATGATTTTTTTGATTATCTGTCATTTTTGTGATGTTTTACTGAACTGGCTGAGAAAGAAAGAGAGAAAGAAAGAAAGAAAGAAAGAAGGATTTTTGAAATTACTTTTTCAACTGTTTTTTTCAGTTTGATTAGAGCTGGGCGGGACTAAATTAGACGTAGGTGACATCAAATCTGCCAAAGTACCAATCAGAGTTAGCAATATGTATACGTCATCTACTCGCCTTTCCGCCTCCTCACACAAAGTGACCTGCTCTCCGCAGCTCGAAGTCCCAGCCAACACTCAACGGTGCTTGTTATAAAGGTTTGCTACACCACTGTTTGTAGTGTAGCTGGACGCTGCCTCCTGCCTGTATTAGCCACCTGTTGCAGGATTCTACTAAAAGCAATTAACTTAATTTAAGAGAGTGAAATAGCTGGCGATCTACCTTAAGCGTGGGAATTAAAATGGCACATTAGCTTAGTGTTATGTCAGCTACCCTCAAACATCAGGGCTCGCAGTGTTTCCCTGCAATACTTTACAGGCATGGCGTACAATAAGGCACCCCCAAGAAAATTCTCCACAGTATAAATATGACAGTAGCTCAGTTTTAGACACAGATCTGAGCAGGCGGCATCTCAGAATTTCTGGAGCATTTATTTACTATTAATTCATTTATATGCAACCCTGTTCCAAAAAAGTTGGGATGCTTTGTGAAATGTAAGTAAAAACAGAATGCAATGATATGCAAACCATCTAAACACTATATTTAGTTGAGAATAGTACAAAGACAAAATTTCAAATGTTGAAAATATCTGCCTGTTTTGAATTTGATGCCAGTAACATGTTTTAAAAGAGCTGGGACAGTGGCAAAAAAGTCTGGTAAAGTTGTGTAATGCTAAAAACACCTGTTGAAACATCTCACAGATAATTAGGTTAACTGGCAACAGGTGAGTAACGTGACTGGGTATAAAAAGAGCATCTCAGAGGCTTTCAGAAGTAGACGATGAGGAGGGGTTCACCACTGTGAAAGACGTGCATGGAAAATAGTCCAATGATCAAGGAATCATTTTTCTTAACGTAAAATAGCAAAGAACTTGGGGATTTCATCGTCTATGGTACGTAATATCATTAAAAGATTCAAGCAATTTGGAGAAATCTCTGTATATATATATATATATATATATAAAGCTAACATGGACCCCTCCCCCAACTTCCCAAAGGTGCAAGGTGTACCTGTGTCCTGTTCCACATGACAGAAGCTCTGGAATGTCCCAGCTTATTACGGCATGGTCCTTTGTCATAGTGTCTCAGGAAAATATCCCCCTGCAAAACACCAGCAGGTTCATGGATTAGGACGCCACAGTTTTTACATATTCAAACCTTTTAGGATGCAATGGAAGAGGCACACTCACATCTAGATTCTGCAGGCAGTACCAGCAGAAGGTGTGTTTGCAGCTCTTGCACAGCATTTGTGCGCAGCCCTGGTTACGCTCGATGTAGACTCCACACTTGGGGCACTGCTTGATGGTTGCTTCCAAGTCAGGGCTGGGCTGACCACTGTATTGAGCAGACAACAAAGCTTGTTATGCATACGTTCACTAGTCTACTCAACCATTCAAAAGTGTGAAATCACTTAAGTCGTTTAATTATGAGACATTAAAGGGTATTTTTAATGGCAATATGACAAAAATGTACAATCACAATACTTGAAGACATTTTCACGATACACAATATTCTCATTTAATGCACTAGTAGTGTCAGTAGTGTCTTAAAAACAATGTTTTAATTATAATGTTTTACATACTCCGCTGCACCAAATCCATATAAACAGGACTAATTATGCTCTCTTTGTAATGAAACCTGCCCTTGGTCAGTTTGCTTTAAATACTGACGATATTCACGATATGTTCCTATTATCACAATAACAATGAAATATCATATTGCCCACCTCTTTTGAGTTCTATAACCTATAATCTATTAATAAAGACTGACTTGTATTGATGGCACTAATTGAAAAGGTCGAATAGTGAATACCCATACCACAAAACATGTTTAAATGAACAATCAAAGTGTTGTTTTTTTCAGTTCTGATTAAATTTTAAATAATATTTGCCTCACTGACCTATCACTGGCCGGGGATACCACTAGAGGCTGCTGCTGAGAGCAGGTATGTCTGTCCTCCCATGGTTCTCTGCAGCTGCAGCAGAAGACTGTGTGGCAGGCAGGGCAGGGCACCGGCACAGCTCTGCCTTCAGCACTGGGCATCACACTGCATACTGCCTGACAGTCCAACACTGGACACCAAGCTTTACTGGGGTCCAGCTGAACTCCTGAGGGAGATACAGAAACCACAAATACTTACAAATGCTTATTTACAGTTATACATTTAAAGGAGTTTTAAAATGTCATTCCCCTAAATGTAACCATTGCTACATCTGTTGTAAACATACCTAACTGCATCATAAAGTGGTGCTATAGTAGTGTGTAGAGCAAGATTTGTTGGTTTAAAGACTAGAAAACCCCAGCCTTTGATGGTGTATCTTGAAGGTGCTAGGAGCTTTGGGGTGGAATCAGTAGCTGAATTTCATGTCTATATTTGTTTATTTTCATAAGGGGGATTCCCAACTATATATATATACACATAGACACACACACACAAACACATTTCCTGTACTGCCTTCCACCCAATGAACCCTCAGCAACCCAGAAGGATAAGCAGCTGTGTGTTTCTGTGTATATGTCTATTTACATCACAAAAGTACTGGGACACACCTCTTAATCATTGAATTCAGGTGTTTTGTTCAGTCCCATTGCCACATGTGTATAAAATGAAGCACCTAGCCATGCAGAGTGCCTTTACAAACACTTGTGAAAGAATGGGTCGTTCTAAAGAGCTCACTGAATTCAAGCATGGTGCTGTAATAGGATGCCACAGTTACAACAAGTCAGTTTGTGAAATTTCTTCCTTTCAGACATTGCATGATAAACTGTGAGTGGTATTATTGAAAAGTGGAAGTGTTTAAGAACCACAGCAACTCAGTCACGAAGTGACAGACCATGTAAAGTTACAGAGTGGAGTCACTGAGTCCCCAACGCTCTGCTGATCAATAACTGCAGAGTTCAAACCTCCTCTGGCATCAACATCAGCACAAAAACCGTGTGCCTAGAGCTTCATGGCTTGGGATTCCATGGACGAGCACCTGCATGCAAGCCTTACATCACCAAACACAATGCCAAGTGTTGGATGGACTGGAGTAAAGCATGCCGCTACTGGACTCTGGAGCAGTGGAAACACATTCTGTGGTGTGATGAATCACACTTCTCTATCTGCCAGTCTGATGGATGAAAAAATAAACACTTTAAAAGAACTTTTTCACGTTTCGTGGCGCAATGGTAAGGCCGGAAACAGCGGTGCTGTGAGGCAAACAGAAAATCCGCCATAGGGCAGACCGTCTCATTTCAGTTCAGCCTTTACGGGTCTAAGCAGCCTTCGAAGGACACGCCTTCGTAGACCATGTCCTTCGAAGGATCCAGCCCCTGAATTGGGACACACTGATTTTTTAAATAGTGTTCTATTCATTAGCTCTTGATCAGGTGCGCCAATTGTAAGTATCATTTGCTAAATGTTAGCAATACAGATTGGACATACAGATTGGATGTCTAATCTGATGATCTGTATGTCCAAATATGTTGAAAAAGTCTAAACTTTTCATGGGGTGGACTTTCTTTTTTACATGACTGTATTGCTTGCTTGGGAGTCCATTCGATCATAAATGCTAACAGGGTTAAAAGCTAGTACAGCATAAAACACTAACTGGCCCTGCTTGATTTCATTCACTGATAGCGACATCATTTTCAAACTATGTCACAACTGTATGTATGTCAGACACATTCTGGACCTCCCAAACTGTGACCAGCATTAGCTGGCCTGTCCTGCATTAGCTCTCTGCTCTCTGTCTCACTGGCCAGAGGAGATCAAGCATGCTGGGAGAGCTTTGGGACTGGCAGACAGAACTGGTGGTTCAGGGAAATACCTCAGCTTTGCAACTCTGAATAAGCTCATTGTCCTTTGCTCTCTGTGGTATTTTGCTAATTACATAATGCGAAGTATGACGTTCAATTTGGCTACCAGACTACGACCACAGAGTTGGTTCGCCCAGATGGTTTTGCTTGTACATTGAAGCTTGGCCTGCAATCCTAACAAGAGCACTTTTTATGTGATAGCACAAAGAAAACAGTTATTTACTAACTATTTACTAACAGATTTCTAATTGCCAAAAATGTAAAAAAAACTTGTGAAAGTTGAAAATGGCAAAATCATTTTTAAGGGATTATGGTTAGAATGAGGCAATGGTTTTAAACTTTACTAGGCATGTAAAGTCTGTCATGTGTTGGATTTTCTCATTTTCTGTTGGATTTTCTGCTTTATTAGACTACTAAACATGCACTTCTTACTTTCAGCTCTCTGGAATATACAGCATTTGTGTTACAACTAGGAATAAACTGATATGGGGCATTCTGGGCTGATGACGATATCTGAAACTTTTTATTTATATATCGTTGCAGCTATCTCCATTTTTGTCCTTTTTCGGTTTTTGACATAATTTGAAAATGCCTGTTGTTCTTTATATTATGTGTAAATTTCATGATGAATGGACTAAAAGAAACAGCCCAAAATTACTTAGAAAAAAGTCTGGTTCCATTGACTTGCATTAAAAGTAAAGTAGGTTTCTTCCTTCTCTTGTAAAATTACCATTTTGGAGATACAAGGTTTTCTTCCAACAGCAGCGGTATGCCAGTGCTCGTGTGGATGCCGAGCAGTTAGGTGCGGTTTACTATACAGCCAGAATCAGAGGTTTGGTGTCCCAACAATACATACAGAAGCTCATTCTTGCTTTCGTCTCCATCAGCGTGGACTACTGTTATGGCCTGGACTAATCACAGGACTTCCCAAAAAAGATTAAGACTGAAGTGTTTGTATCTCACTCTACTCAACAATCTGATGAAAATCTCTGTTTACATGCCTACTACAAGTAATCTGACCCAAAATGACACGCACGCGTAGCGCACCACTTAGTGTAGATGTTACCATGACAACCAGCATCACGAGAGGTCCAGTCAGAGTGAGATGAGTTTTCCGATGGCACACTTGTGTTTTAATTGCTTTAAAACTATGCCAGAAAAACACACTTCACATGTATTAAGGAAGTGGCGAGAGGAAGACGTTGAGTTCTGAGACACATAAGCTGGACGTCCGTCCTGCCGCCTTCTTTTAAAGATCAGAGCATAAACTCTGTCTCCTCTGCAGACCAGTTTCTGCTCCGCCATGTCGAACCTTCTAAGCGGTACAAGAAGAACTGTGTGCCGGGAGCTTCATGGCATTGGTTTCCAAGGCTGAGCAGCTGCATGCAAGCCTTACATCACCAGGCACAATGCCAAGTGTTGGATGGGAGTGGTGTAAAGCACACCGCTACTGGACTCTGGAGCGGTGAAAATGTATTCTGCGGAGTGATAAATCACGCTTCTCTATCTGGCAGCCTGATGGACGAGTCGGGGTTTGGAGAACGTTACCTGCCTGACTGCACTGTGCCAACCGTAAAGTTTGGTGGAGGAGGGATAATGCCATGGGGGTGTTTTTCAGGGGTTGGCCGAGGCCTCTTAGTTCCAGTGAAGGGAAATCTTAATGCTTCAGCAGACCAAGACATTTTGGACAACTGTATGGGGTTCATGTTCCAACATAACTGAGACTCAGTGCACAAAGCAGCGTCCATAAAAAGGCATGGCTGGGTGGAAGAACTTCACTGGTCCCACACAGCCCTGACCTCCACCCCATCAAGTCAGGCTCCCCTCATTTTGGGAAGGTTTCTACAGGGGTGAAGCAAGTGGAGTAGTTGGTTGGGAATGTAACCAGATACAGATGTTTACATGGCTATTATTCTTCTATTTAACAAGTTATTTACAGGATTACCCACCTTGTTCAGTCGGACAGAAATTGTATTCCAAATGGCCTCAATCAGACTAGTCTATTCCGACTGAGGTGTATACATGGACGTGTTCTATTCCAATCCAGCTATTAGTCGGATTATTAAAGGATTATTAGGCTGCATGTAAACATGGCTAATGTCAAGTTGCATGGAAATTATGTTGCAGGCAATTCACAACATGCAAGTAGTTGCATGAATAAGTTTCACCATGTAAAGCCAGCCTAAAAATAACAATAAAACATGAGTGATGTGTGACTTATTTTGTTGGAAGTTGGTGACACAAACAAAATAAAAATCTCAGAATGTTTGGCTTTGCTTGATGAAATCAAAAGTCCAACAACAGTATTCAGAAATTGTGTTATAAACAAGCAGATAAAATGGCAGACACTTTTTTTGTGTCTGAACTAAAGGGTTTGTGCAGATTCTGCTCCTCATAATCAGAATCCAACCCCAGGACAGACATTTGGACACACATACATACATACATACCTCTTTCAAACTTGAGCCGCCTGTACAGCTCGAATTGATCACTCGGGGCGAAAGAGGCGATCTGTGTGAACAAGGAAATTAACAATATAATTATAGCAAACAGTAGCTAGAGCAACATAGATCTGCAGCAAACAAAGCAAACTCACACATTACATAAGGCCTAGTAAAGGAAACATGATATCTTCATAATATGATATTTGTTGGCTTTGTTGAGCCGTCATTGTGTTGGTTTACAGTTGACACAGCAAAAGAAGCAGGCAGCTTAGCACAGGCTTTGAAAGCAACAGGACCTTGTGATTGTGAAGCTATTATGTTTTATCTAAAGCACACATAACAGATGCCTTTTGCACATTATGACATGAATATGTGTACCTAAGCCGTTTCGCTGGCTAATAATTAACCATTTATAAATAATATGAGGTTCTTTCTCTCTCCTCATGAAGACAGTTTACTTTTCCGGACTTTCTATTTCATTCCATTTGTAAAGGTCATTAACTGTACCATGGCAAAGGAAAACAGAACATGAGATCTGCAGCGGAGCAGAGAATAAGATCATATTTACAGACTGTGATTATTTTTTCTCTGAAGCAGATTTAGACTCTTGGCCTTCTGAGTCTATATTGCATTGGCAACACAATATCCACACTTTAACCAAACATTTTATGACTTTTTCATATTTCTGCAAAAGAAATGAGGGCTTTTAAATTTCACATTGTGCAAGACTTCCAAGACATGCACAAGAAATAAAGTGCATGGTGATATAGTGTTGCAAAAACATTTGTTTATGAATACTTTTTATACAAACACACACACACACACACACACACATATATATATATATATATATATATATATATCATCAAAGTAACTAACTCTGCTCACTCGCTGCACAGTTTGCTGTGAGCCTCGCCTTTTGAAGTACAGACTGAGCCGTAAAACTGCCGCAATATCAAGTTTAGCTCAGTTTTGTCAGTTTTGTTCCAGCCAGTCTGTAAAGCATCTTACAGCCCATTTAGTTTGGGCGAATGGTGTTGGGTCCATTTCTGGCTGATTCCAGGTTGTTTAGCTGTTCTTCTGTCTCAGCTGCCGACTGAAAAGCTGCTCAGTGGTGACGACAGTTTGGGAATTTAGTGTCGTCTCATCTTCAGAGTCTGACCAAATCGGCTGTCGGTCAAATGTGATCTTAGAAGTGTCCATTTTCTCTTTGTGCACAAAGTAAGAAGTAAAAACGTTCAAATGGCTTGAGCGTCACCTACAGCTGTCAAAGTCGTTGCTTAGCAACAGCGTCTCAGCGGAGTGATACAGTGTTTGGGAAAAAAACTGAACGCTTCTCAACCAATCAGCTTGCGTGGCCAGAACTAACTGTTGTATAATACATATTAGGTACTTACATTGATATTACTTCCAGCAGGAACCATATACATACAGCAAATTACACAAAAGCCATCAACACTAACAATAAAAATCCATCAGTATTTAATTTGTCCACTTTTTACTTTTGTGCACCGACTGCCACTTTAACTCTTCCTCCTTTTAATCTTAAAATCAACCAGTTACAGCTGTCCTCCCAACAAAAGCCATTATGTTCTCCTTCAAAGAGACTCCAACATTCACACAAGCATCTATCCCAACACGCCTTAGCTGCTTTGCTAATGTCTCTCATGTACATCTGAAATGGCTGAAGAAGATATTTCTAAAGAGCTTCAATATAAAATAATCCACCTGAATTAAGAAGGGAAAGTGAAAGCAAAATAAGATGGAAAGACTGAGTGAAAAAACCCATGGATTTTCCAAGACTAGACAAGAAAATGGGACCCCTAACAACCATGTAAAACCTTGTAGACTGCCAAAACTGTCACCATCAGATAAATAGATAAACTCTCATCTCTGAGAGATAGGAAAAAAAAATCAAGCTCCGCTCTCACTTCAGAGCTGAGAAAATCCACAGGTGTTTCCGTCTACCCTTCCACTGTGAGAAGACAACTCTGCTATAGGTCAAAAGGGTGAGGAGCCGTCAAAGAAACCCTTACTGAGACGAGGAACATAGAAAAAAAAAGAAACTTTGCACTAGAACATCAAAACTGGACATCTGAGATGTGAAGTAAGGTTTTATTTATTGATAAATCTAAATGTGTAATGGGGATTACTCAGAAATCAGGAAATCAGAAAATGCAACCAACTTCTGAGACTGAACTTTGGAAGGTGTGGAAAAATCTCCCTGCAAATTTCTTTGAAAAACTGAAAGTAGGTCTCACTAATTAATGAAAAAAACACAAATTATATTTAGTTATCAAGGCTTTTGTGTAAATTTTCTACTAAATGTAGTTTTTCTACTTTTGTTGATGCTGAAAAGTGAGTAACTTGTACTTGATGGCCTTTTTACTGGAAATGTAACAAATGAAAGAGCAGTCTCTGATTTTGCACAGTGCAACATACCTGAGACACATTATATATGGGACATATTATTACATATAGGTACTTACATACATATAATGCATGTGGGACTCATTATTATTACATAGAAGTACTTATACACATATACACAGTACTTACACACATATATACCCTCACAGAGCAGGTACTATTTGGGTGGTGGATCATTCTCAGCACTGCAGTAACACTGATGTGGTGGTGGTGTGTTAGTGTATGTTGTGCTGGTATGAGTGGATTACACCCAACAGTGCTGCTGGAGTTTTTAAACACCTCAGTGTCACTGCTGGACTGAGAATAGTCCACCAACCAAAAATATCCAGCCAACAGCGTCCTGTGGGCAGCGTCCTGTGGGCAGCGTCCTGTGGGCAGCGTCCTGTGACCACTGATGAAGGACTAGAGTATGACCAACACAAACTGTGCAGCAGCAGATGAGCTATCGTCTCTGGCTTTACATCTACAAGGTGGACTGACAAGATAGGAGTGTCTAATAGAGTGGACAGTGAATGGACACAGTGTTTAAAAACTCCAGCATCACTGCTGTGTCTGATCCACTCAGACCAGCACAACACACACTAACACACCACCACCACGTCAGTGTTACTGCAGTGCTGAGAATGATCCACCACCCAAATAGTACCTGCTCTGTGAGGGTCCATGGGAGTCCTGACCACTGAAGAACAGGGTAAAAGGGGGCTAATAAAGTATCAGAGAAACAGATGGACTACAGTCTGTAACTGTAGAACTACAAAGTGTTCCTATGTAGTAAGTGGAGCTGATAAAATGGACAATGAGCGTAGAAACAAGGAGGTGGTCAGAATGTTGCACCTGATCGGTGTATAATAAGATATGTTTGTGACCACATCTTGACTTGGTATGAGAAGACAAAAGTATGTGTGTATGTGTGTGTGTGTGTGTATGTGTGTGTGTGTTGTACCTCAGAGTCCAGTAGAGGTCCTGGGTGTTTGCAGGCCAGGTCAGGGCAGGTAATGGGGGCACCGGCCCCGTCCTGTATGGCTAACTGCACATACTGACGCAAACACTGTAATCAGAAGACAGCATGGTATCACTATACTGTTCTCTTTAACGACCCCATCCTTGTCACACGCTGACAATGAGGTGGTAACAGCCTGCAATTAATAAACCCAGCTTTTCTCCTAGAACAAGTTTTATCACATTACCCAAACAAAGCATCCTAACAAACAAAGGCACCCAATGCCTTTCAGTGCTGTCTGTGGCTAAACCCGTTTGACTGTCCTGCCCTACAGCTCACTGAGGAGTGTAAAAGAGATCACTCTGCGAGAGCTGAAAGGCGAGACAGAGTTGCATTGTGCTTTGGTTGCTACATTTCTCTTGACCTTGTACGACTGGGCCGCAGTCACAGAGATAAGGATCTGCTGCACACCAACAACAGACCACAGTTTGTTTGTGTGCTTATGGGTGAGAGCTGAAAACTGAAGATGACGTTAAAGAGTAGCTCATAAATAACAGCTTAGCCATTTTTGATAAAGCTCTATAAGGACAAAAAAATAAAGCAAATACTGCACTGTTCAAAAATTAAGGGATGACTGTTCAAAAGTTTGGAATCAATGTTTTTCCAGCAGTATAAAACAATTTTGCTGAAGACATATGCTTAAAATAATTTAAATATGACAATACTACTGTACTAAAATTAAGGACGTTTGGAGAGATTTCAGTAACGGGGTTGTATAGCACTTTATATTCAACATGAGAAGCAATACAGCATCTATTTTTCCATAGATCACTGTTGAAAAGTTTAGAATCAATGTTTTTAATGACAGAAAACCAATCTGGTTTCAGATAAATGCTGATCATACAATAATATTCTTGAAATGAAACAATAATATACTCTAGCATCACAGGTTTCAAATAGTCTGTAGGAAGCTGAATGATAAAAGGAGCTGTAACATCTCTGAGAAAGTTGTTTAGCACCAAGAATAAAGTTATAATAAAGTTAATATTCATTGATATATTTCTCTAGTGGTGATAAAATCTCATGGTAGATTTTGTAGACACAAAATATTACAAGTAAATAACTGAAGTATTTTATTTATCATATAATAAGTTCCAATTACTCCAAAATACTTGAAATGTTGAATACAATGTCTAAAAGTACCCAATATTTTAATCTGCGCTGTGCGAGTTACTGTTGAACAGTGACGTTGGAGTCAAGTCTCAAGTCTCTGGGCTGTGAGTCTGTGTCAAGTCTCTAGCAGAGAATTTTGGTTTAGTCTCATTATTAACTGCATGGTACAAAAAGAAAATCCACCTAAAAACCTGTCAGGTCTGACACGGTTTCAAAGCCTGAAGGACAGAACTGAAGCACTACACCCGTTATACATGGCGCTTAAAGGAAAGAGGCAAAACAACTTAAAATGGCTGTTTGCTCTGTAGTTTATATAGCAGGTCTGCTAGCTAGCCACACAATAGCTAGTCCATCTGAAGATTTATTCATTTTTACAGAAATATGATCTATGATTTACTGAAACTTCAGCTAGTTTGGCTGGCAACTTCAGCTATAATAGCTACTGTGCTTGCTAGCATGTCTGCTATTCAAACTACATGCAAGTTAAAGTTGTTTTCCTCTTTCCTTTAAACACTGCATATCGCTGCTGTCGGAAGAAAACCTCATATCTCCATTTTTGTCGTTTTTCAGTTTTTGACATAATGTGAAAATGCCTGTTGCTCTTTACATTGTATGTATATTTCATGATGAACAGACCAAAAGAAACGGCCCAAAATGACCTGGAAAAAGGTCTGATTCCATTGACTTACATTAAAAGTAAAGTATGTTTTTTCCTTCTCCTGTAAAGTTACCATTCTGGAGATATGAGATTTTCTTCAGACAACAGCGATATCCTGGAGGTAGCTCTTTGCTCCACCCAATAAAAGGCTTGTTATTTGAAGCTGATGAGCTGTGGGAGAACGGCAATGCCCCACGTTTGCTGCATTATTGTTGGTCATCCTCATTTAACCAGTTTTGTTTGTGTGTTTTTGTCTTCAGGCTGAAATCTCACAAGCTGTAAGTCTTGAGTCTGAGTCGAGTCACAAGTCAATTAACCACATGAACACTCAAGCCCAGTACCAGGCCAAAAAAAGAAAAAGAAAGCCACTCCTTTAAATTAGTAGACAGACGAGTTGCGCCGCATGCGCATCCCTGTTGACGACAGTAAAAACTATCAGCTTAAGTGTGTAGAATCAGATCTTTTTGCATGCTACAGTGTTTTCTATAACTAGATAAAATATGCACAACACTTCTTTTCGTGCAGGGTTTTTACAGAGCAAACGTGCTACAGAGCTATCAAAATATCAGTTCTGCAGACACCTATTATTGGTTCGTTTAATCATAGTAATGATAAATGACTGATGTGTAACTATATTCCTATTCATGTGTTTTTTTGTTCTAAAAGGTAGTTTGTGACACAAACATAAAATAAAAATCTCAGAATTTTTGGCTTTGTTAGATCACATTTCTTACATATGAGTAAATGCATCAGCAGCACTGACAAATCACACTACTTAAGGAAAAGTTATTTTCTCCATCAAAAAATTATGATAACCATTATTTTATCTTAGTTTAATGTTGTTTCAATGTATTATGGTCCTTTTCTTTATAAGAAGCATAAAAAAATTGCTAATAGTATGTTAATGTCTCGGTAACTAGCTAATTTTTCTGTTCCACCTTAAATAGTCCAGCAGTTCTGACACCTGAATCACCAGAATGTAACTGCTGCTCCATTTAAGGTGGAACTGGAAAATTCAAACAAGAAGCTGGTGAATATCTGACTTCAGCCTCATATCACTGAAGAATTAGGGGTGGGTGATAATAAATAATTGCCCCCTCTTTGAAGACATATGATCCCCTAAATGTATTTAGCAGTGAGGAGCTGAACTTTACCCTCCTCTGCTGTCACTGCAGACTGGCAGGGTCGCCTACAGAGCAGCGCTAGTAGCTGTTAATGAAATAATGCTCTTTTTATTTGAGGGTCCCATTTCAGAGGAAAGATTTCAACCACTACCCCTTGTAACTCAGTTCCAAGGGGCAAGGTGACACTCGAAAACAAGGGCTAGGGGTAAAAATAAGAAATTAGGATTGGGCCTAAGTCACCATCTCTGCTACAGTATTAATAAAACAATAATAATAATGATTAAAACGACAAGTGACTCCAAACATTCAAACAGTAGTGTGTGTTGTATTGTGTCCTTGAGAAGCTGGAGGAGAAATCTGTCTAAAGCTTTGAAAGTGCTCAGCCTTTTGCGGTCAGTCTTTGTCAAACAGACTTTGTCAGCTGTCCTCAGTGCACCCCTGTGATTACGTCTTTACCTGAGTGCAGAACACACAGCCGCAGGAGCGCAGTCTGCTGGTCTCCGGCGCAGGGCAGTCGCTTAGACACAGTTTGCAAAGCACCACATCAGTCTCCGTCTGGACAGGGGAGTCAGAGCCGTCCGCCATGCTGCTGTCGGACACTGTCTGTCTGCCTTCGGGGCTGCTGTTTAGCCCTTCATTTTGAGAAACGATCCAGCAATGTGTTCCATTTTCCTGAAGGGCAAAGGCAAAAGAGAGGAAATGAATGAGGATAAACAGCTGCGACAGACAAACAGCAACTCTCCTGCTCCGTGCGTGTGTTTGTGTACGTGTTGGGCTCATACAGGTCGGTAAATGGAACGTGAATCTCCTTCACGGTGTGTGTGTGTGTAGATAAACATGATGTAATAGGTGAAAGTGCAATACAGTGAGTACAATGTGGCATTCAGACCATTTATTATGTGTTGCAGAAATTACAGTTCAGCTGAGTAAGCTTTAATAAAGCTCCCAGTGTACATTACTGTTAAGAGCAGCTGTCATATTTCCTACCACCCTCCTGTTCAGGTAACTGTGAATAACTAGATGCATACTTTTATTGGGGCCAGGAAAGCTGTTAGCTGGGCACATCTCCAAAAGAAAGGCTATAAACCAAGGCTTTTCAACTAAATCGGGCCATGGAGTCTGCAAGTCCAGCTGGGCAGCACAGCGCCAACATTCATTTAGGAAATAGTCAATGAAAAATCAGGTTTTCACACAATTGTAATTTTTCTTGTAGTGCACTTTCAAGAAAACCCTGACTGTTAAGACTTGTATGGCTTAAGCCAGTGTACATGTCCAATACTATTAAAATACTTTGGAAAGTGTTGTTTATTATAAAAAGACATGACAAATTGGCAAAATCTCTCTGTTAGTAGGCCACAACCATCGCACTGTGATGTCATATGGTTGCACTGGACTCTGGATGAAAATAAGACAATCAGAAAGGCTTTTCTCTTGAGAAATGTCACATGAATGAATAAATATTCACGTTTCTGAAGATGTACCGGATATTTAGCTTGCTGTTGTTTCCTCAATGGACAAATAAGACAGCAACCATTTGATGCCTCAAGCAAAAATGGCAATCTACTAGTAAATGGGTTTGTCCATTATAATAATAAAGTAGTTTACTTGGTTTATTCAATATTTTAATAGTATTTGGTGTGTATACCATGTTAGGGATAACACATCTTACACGGGTTCCCTTCAAAAGAATAGATGTTGACCAAAGTGTTGTGAAATCTAATAAAAGAGAAAATAATTAAACAATACATGTAGAGAATAAAAAATGAAAAAAATAAACTCATATAAGTAAGAGGAAAACGCGTCATGGATCTTACATAACACCATTAGAGGGAAGCAGTGACTAATGTTTGTTTATTTGAGCTCTGGCTGTGTCGAGCAGCTATGAAGCAAGGCAGCCAATCTGGACACTTTAGGCTTGCACTTTAATAGTTGCATTTAACAAAAAAACAATTATGACAATTACTTATGCAGCAATCAATTAATTAATTAATTAACCACCACCTACAATTTAATGATTGTAACAGGCCTGATAAGAAATACTGGAAGCATGCAGTCTGCTTGGAAAGTACTGGCACTGCCAACTCTTTTGCTTTTGCTATACAATGAAGACACTTGCGTTAGAGATTAAAACATGACTATGAAATAATAGTCATCTTTTGAATTTCAGTTTTTATTTTCTGACATTTAAATCCAGATGTGTTAAATAACTTAAAACATGGTAGCTTTGGTGGCACCACCCAATTTTTATGTGAGCAAAAGTAACAGAAACTCTTATAGTAAATCAAATACTTTCTACCACGGCAATTAGCACTGTGCAAACTGCATGTCTAAAGCACTGCACACTCGCCTCCATGTCAAGTTGCTGTGTCATCTCAAATAGACTTGCTTATCGCTGCTGTCAGAACCAAACCTCGTATCTCCAAAATGGTAACTTTACATGAGAAGGAAAAAACATACTTTACTTTTAATGTAAGTCAATGGAACCAGACTTTTTTCCAGGTCATTTTGGGCTGTTTCTTTTGGTCTGTTCATCATGAAATTTACACACAATGTAAAGGGTAACAGGCATTTTCAAATTATGTCAAAAACTGAAAAACGACAAAAATGGAGATACGAAGTTTTCTTCCGACAGCTGCGTTATGTGGTTATGTGGTTTTCTACAAAAATGGACACTGTAATGACACTTTCACTATACACTTTACACTGTAATACCGCTGTAACTACTAGTTAGTTATGTCTAAACTCACTGCGCTTTTAGTTTACCTCATACCACTCAGTGCCTGCTATCATGTAAATACAACAAATGTCTCATATGCTATGTAAATATAATAGATATACTTTTATTTTATTTCTACTCTCTTATACTTTAACTTATGTCTAGTTTTATTTCTGTTTTTTATTCTCTGCATAGTACATGTAAGTTTATATGCAGTTAGATGGCTTGCTACTGAAACACTGCAATTTCCCTTTTGGGATCAATAAAGTTATTTATTTATTTATTTATTTCCTTCTTTCTTTCTTCGCTTCTTTCTTTCCTTCCATCCATCCATCCATCCATACATCCATCCATCTATCTATCTAATAGCCATCCTGAAGCCTCAGCTAGTCCTTTTATCCAAATCACATGAGCAAGTTTATTTATTAGTTTATCACCTAACAAGCAAAGTTTGATACAGATTTTTAGTTGATTTAGTTATGAGGCTAAGTGGTGGTCATATGCCTCCATTTCTCATTAGCTTTATTTCATTTTTGGCCTAAATATATAACTGAGTTTTGGCTAAAATATCACTAAGTTCGCTTTCCTTCCTAGCAAACGAGGAGAGCTCATTATTGAAATCAGATGGTGTTGTACAGGGCAGGAACAAACGTGTGCAGATAACGTGGCCTTCACTGAGAACAATACCCAATGACCTTTCAAAAACGTCACAAAGTGTACTTTGGATACATCTAAACCACAGATGGCCCGGCCATTTGGCATTTGTCAACTCAAGTTTTTGCCTTTTGGGCCTGCGTGTCCAGCACCAATGAGGAAATACTTTCTACAAAGTGATCGCAATGTTAAACACCAAAGGCAGCCCAATTGTTTGCAGCAGAGAACTGTTCAGTTAGAACAGCATCTGCCCAAGGCCAAAACATGCACTGGAGAGACGTCTCCACCCAACACAGAACACCCTAAACTGAAATTCAGTTTAAGAGGTAACAGGTTGTCCAAGTAAGTCAGAACATGCTGGACACAATATGCTAAACTAAAGCAACAGGTTATGTGGATATAGCTTATGTAATACACAGGTTATGCAATATAGATTATGATAGGTTTACTACATTTTAGGGATGTTAGACACAAGAGGCTCACTGCTTTTATAAAACTGTGACAATATAAATACAATTCAAATGACTACACCAATGTTCAAAATACAATGGCATTTCCTAATAATACTTGCAATAGAGTTTGCTGACAGTAGGCTATGGTTGCAAAGCCACATAACAGCCAGTTTAATAAACAGTGCAATAGTTTTGTATAACTTGGTGCAATAATATCAAATTAAACATATGCGTGCAGCAATATGTGTGTATATTGAATATTTTACTGAGAAATATGACAATATGTAGTGTTATTATTATCAATTATATCACACTATATCACAATATGCTTTTCTGAACATACAGTAAACATCACCAGCACTTAAAAACACTGACTAGCTGCATGTTTCATTATAAACACAGCGTAATTAGTCCCGTCTAACTGGATTTACTGCAGCGCAGTGTGTGACACTTTGAATACAGATCACTGTATCCATCATTTTTCATAGCATTTTAAATTTTACATTTTCTCCTAAAAATAATTGCATTTTTATTGTCACAATGGTGGGATTTCTGATTGAAACCATAGTTTAACCTCTTCAACTCCTTGAGACCACCGGTGGTTCCAAAACGCACTTCGTCATATTCTTCATAACTTTCATATTTCATAAGCTACATTCAAAAGGTGGGGGTCATCTGAGAGCTGAAACTGTCTTCTTTCCAGTCAAATAGATGAGTGATGTAATTTTAAACCTTATAATAAAAGAAGCTGAAGTCAGTTTTTTTTTTTTGTCTACTGAAAGTCGACCCATTTTTCCACAAGTCTGGGCTATAAACTATAAACAGATGGCGTCTCTTCAGTGATCTGCTCTGTACAAATTATTTTTTATACAAAAATACAAAGAGCGTCTAAGATTTTTGGCTTTCAGCAGTAAATTGTAAGCATATAGCAATATGTGTGATCATAAAACATGTTCTGTTAATTTGAGGGGAACTTTTAAAAAAAACAAATAAATAAATAAATAAAAAATTTATGCAGTTACTGAATAATTTGCCTTACGATTTGGTCAAGTAAGTTCAGAAGGACAAACCAAAATATTGCCTGGAGAATAAGAGGTTAAAGAAGTAAAACATTTAATGTACATATTATTTAATATTATATAGTAAACTCTTTAATATTAAATAAGTCTTCAATAGTTCTCTGCCAAGTCTCTTTCCCAACACGGCGATTATCGCCTTCAAAGCATCGTCATCGGCTTACTTGTGAATCATCACCGATATCCGATTATGCCCGGGCCTAATCATAATACATTTTTGCCATATGTTCCAAACTACAATGGCTTTGAACGTTTTCATGAAGTGGCAATGGGATCCCATCAGAAGCCTCCATGTGTCCAAACACATTGATTAGAGAAGCAGCACGAAGGCCAAACAGACTAAAAGTCATGTTAACTCTAGATGTCCAAGCAACAAACAGCCCATAGACGAGAAAAAGGTCACTCAGAGTGATATCACTGGTCTGGTGAGCTCATCAAACACAAGAGCCAATTATTTCAATCCTAAACAAATCCTATGGCCGGTGTGTTCAGCTGTTTGTTGACTGTAATTAAGCAGACTTGCTAAACCTGTGGAGTTAACTGTGGTATAACTGGTACAGGTTTAGCCAGAGGAACCATGGGTAAAGTGGCCGACAGAGCTGAGAGTCCACCCTGTACGCTCCTACAGCCAACATTCACTGCACGCCAGGCCAGGCAGTCCGGCTCGATGGGCAGAAGTGATAATACCCTAATCTGGGATCAAGCTAGATTATAGGGATCCAGCCACCACAAAACAGAGGAAGAGAACGACTAACAGAATGAGTGGTTGAAAAGCTGCTGATCATGTATTGTCCATTCTATATTTACAACAACAACAATAATAATAATAATAATAATAATAATAATAGAAGCAGAACATGCAACCAACTCCTAAGACTGAAGTTTGAAGGTGTGGAAACATATTCCAATCAGATTTCTTTAAAGAAATGAAAGTAGGCCTGAAAGATTCATCATTTTTGTACTGAAATCTTTTTGAAGGAGTGCAGTAATCAAATCACAACAGCTGCTATTTTCAATTTTCAAATCGCAAGAGCAGAAATCTTTTCTACAGCCTACACTCTTAAAAAGATGGTTCCTCAAGGTT